TGTAGAAGAATATATAAATAGAATACTTTAAGAAATAACTAAAATTTATATTAGTACAGATGGCTTTATAGATCTAAAATATCTTATAAGATTATAGCTGGATAACTGGTTAAATATATTAGCTATTTACTAGCTTAATTTCTCTAAATTATATAATATAGCAAATATTTATATAAGTTTTATTTTAAAAATAGCTATCTTGCGAAAGTCTTTTATCTCTTATATTAAGAAATCCTATAAAAAAAGATAACAGTTCTTTCTAGTTGTTGTCTTTATATTTCTTAATAATTATATTAGAATATTAAAAGTAATCTTAACGCTGTGTCTTTTTATATTAATAGTATTAATTTATACTTATAAAATAGCATTAAAGCCCTGATCAGGCGAAATTTTATAGTATTTCTAATTTTACTTAATATAAGTCTTAGATAGAAAAGAATTTCTTAATAAGTATAATAGAATAAATAGTAATTTTATCCCGGCTTTAGAGTATATCTGCTTGACTCTCTTAGAATAGTAGAAAAATATATTATCTAATATTAGCTTAATTTTTATAGAAAAAAACAGATATTTTATATATAAAGCTGGTATATATCTTTTATATATCTTTATAAGTATATTATATACTAAAATTCTAAATTATTACAGAAGTTATATTTATAGTTTTATAAATAAAATATCTTAAAATATTTTTTTAGACTGTAGTAGTCAGAGTATTTTTTATAGTACTAAAAATATATTTAAGACTTTAAATCTTTTTTTATTTATTTATTTAAGGCGGCAGATTATTCTTTTTAAACTAATATACTCGAATAAATCCCAGATTTCTATTTATAAGCCGGTGGTTAAGTAATATACTTTTTATTTTCAGCTGGTATAAAATATTTTAGTCTTTTCTAAAATAGACTATTTTTAGAAAATTTATAATATTAGATTACAGTTGTAATAGCTTAATTATATTTTATCTACTTATTCTTTAGTAAATTTAAAGTAGACTATATAAAAAAAATCTTAATAAGTAGAATTTATTCCGGAAATATAACAAACTTCTACTATAAGATCTTGTATATAAATTTATTATTTATTATATTATTATTAAGCTGTTTTTTAATATTAATTACTATCTGTTTCTGGCTGAAATCTTAGTATAGTTATTTTTATTATTTTTTCTGTAAATTTTAGTATAGATTTTTAACTTTTTATTTTTAGTCCTCCAGCAGTATATTTAATATTAAATTATTAAAATAATTATACTAAATTTTTAAATTAGTTTGCTATTAAACAGCTGTTTATAATATTAGATTCTTTTCTATTAATATCTGATCTAATTTACTAAAATATTAAGAACAGTATTTATTAATTTAGTAATTTATTTATATTACTACTTAAATAAACTCTATATTAGGATTTAGACTATATATAATTTTTTATAATTTAGTATATCTGCGTGGACGGTAGTATTTAATAAAAATTTTATTACTTATATATAATATAATTATATTATATTAAGTCTTACTAATAAATTTTAAGCTAAATATTTAATTCTTAAATCTGTATAAAAATAAATAAAAAAAACTATATACTATTTTTATTAAGTAGCTACCCGCCTTTATACCGAAACTAATAAAAGAAAAATAGATTAAAAAATTTATAAATTTTATTTAGACTTCGAAGCTGGCTGTATAGTATATTACTATTTAGCAGAATCTTTTAAAGAATATTAAACTAACTATTAACTAAGTTAACTCTTAAAAAAATATAATAATTATTTATTTTAGGTTTTAGAGAAAGTAGCATTTTCTATTAATTATTCTTAACTAAAAGCTTTTAAAAATTATCTATTAATTTTAATTCTAGCGCCGTAAAAGCACGGGTATAAAATAAGATATTAAAAAATAAAATATATAAACTAAAAATAAATAATATACTATATATAATTTCAGATAAAATAAATATATTATTATAAAAGATTAGCTTTCTTCAAGATAAAAAATACTAAATATAAATATAAAAAAGATATTTAAAATAAAAAGCTTTATATAGTTTTACTATTTTAAGATTCTTTATAATTTTAGATTTAAGTTCAATTATTAATATAAAAAAATCTTTATATAAATCTTATTAAAAAATAATCTAAAAATACTTAAACTACAGACTTAAAACTATATATTTCTAATTAATAGTAAACAGTTCTATAATATTATAAAAATATAGATTTATTTTTTAAAATTCTAGATAAAATTACTTTTCGCGGGTCTGAAAAATAATTTTATTTAAAAAAATTATATTTTTAATATAGACTGGAATATTCTTCTATAGCTGTTTATCAAGTCTGTATTTATTAATTAAGTATTTTAAATTCTGTTCGATAATATTAAATATCAGATTAAATCTTATAACTATTATTATTAGATCTAAAAACAGCTTACTATATAAATAATTTTATTTATTTTTTTGCTTATCTTATGTTTAGTAACTTATATATAGTAAATCCGAAAGTACTTTCAGTCTGCTTAAATAGTACTTATTTTTTTATAATTTTTAAAATAGTAACTGTTAGAATTATATTTCAACTTAAAATAAAAATTAAGAAATAAATATATATTATTTAATATTATCTATTATAAAACTTTTTCTGTATTCTTCTATTTTAAATCAGCTGATAGTTTAATTATATTTATTTAATAATATCTGTTTATAATAGTAAATCAGATAAAAACTACTAGTAATAAATAAAACTTTTAAAAATAGATTTAAACTAGAAGTTATTTACCATATTTAATAGTTCTTCAGCCGAAATTTCTAAATCTTAGTATTAAAAAACTTTTTATAATTTTCTAATATATTAGTAAAATTCTTATCGATATTATCAGCCGGATTTTTATAATAAGTACGGTGCAGCTGTTCTATAGTTAATATATATATATTTTTAGCAGATAATAAAAAATAATTTATAAAATTTATTTTAATATTAGTATTAATACTAGTCTTTCTATATATAGCTTTTTAATATCTTAATAAAAAATATTTTAAATCCGCAAATTTAGTATCTATTTTAGAAATATAAAATAAATTATCTTCGGTAACAGTAGATATATTCGATATTTTACTAGTACTAATTTAAAAAGTAGAACAAAACTTTTTCTGAAATATTATTAAAATTTTTACTAAATAAAGCTCGAGATAAGATAAAGATTTAAAAAGCAGAAATACAAGAATATAAAATAAAAAAAAATAGAAGATAATAAAATTCAGAAAAAGATTATAAAATCCGAAGTTTTATTAAAACTAATAAAAAAATTAGAAAATATAAAACAGAAAAGTAGTATTTATAGCTATTATAACTAGATAATAACTAATATCAGACTAAAAAGACTTAAAGAAGGCCATCTTTAATATATATATAAAATAAAGCATAAATAGTAGTAATAATTAATAGTTTAAAAAATTTTAGTAATAAGAAAAAATAAAAGCTAAAGCACTCTTTAAAAAAGTTTTTTTAGATAAAAACAAATATACTTAATAAGTATATACACAGAGAATACGGGAGTATAGTATAAGATAGTTACTAGAAAAATACTATTTTCAGTATTAGTTGCTGCTATTTCGGGCAGTAAAAAAGCAAGTCGCAATTCTTTAAGAGTAATATTAAAAATATTTATATATATAAATTTATTTATAATATTAAACTACTAATAGACCGAGCAAGTTCAGATAAATTTAAATAAATTTAAATAAATTAGATTATATATTCTGTATATAAGCCTGCTTGCAATATTAAAAGTATTCTTATAAATATTACTTATAATATAAAGCTGTTAATTAGCCGGATAAGTTTAAACAAGTTTAAATAAATTCAGATAATTCAAATTATATATTTTATATACAAGCGCGCTTACGATATTAAGAACGTTATTATAAATACTACTCGCAATATTAAGCAGCTGATTGGCCGGGTAAGTTTAGGCGAGTTTAGATAAGTTTAGATAAATCATATTATATATTCTATATATACTTATAATATTAAAAGTATATATATAAGTCTGTCTGCAAGCCTGTCTGCGAATCTACCCGCGAGCCCACTCACTTGTAATATTAAATATGTTTATGGCTTTATCTATAAGCCTGCCTGTAAGTCTGTTTACTTATAATATTAAGTATATTCATAGTCCTGTCTGTAAGCCTGCCTGCGAGCCTGCTCGCTTGTAATATTAAGTATATTTGTAATCCTATCTACAAGCCTGCCTGCGAGCCCGCTTGCTTGTAATATTAAGTATATTTATATTCCTATCTGTAAGTCTATCTGCTTGCAAGCCTGCCTGCGAGCCTGTCTACTTGCTTATAATATTAAGTATGTTTGTGGTTCTGCCTGCGAGTCTATTTACTTGCCTGCTTACTTATAATATTAAGTATATTTATAGTCCAGTCTGTAAGCCTGTCTGCAAGCCTATCCGCTTGCAATATTAAGTATTATATAACCCAATTAGAAAGAGGCTGGATAATTAAACCTAAGCCCGACTGGAAAGCCACCGAGTTAAGGCCGATTAGACTTTATATTAATATAATTCGGAGTTATTTTAGTAATATATAATCCGGTGGTCTAGTTAATAAAATCTTATATTTAAAAAATAAAATAAAAGAATAGTCTTAGAATCTATCTATATAAAACCGGGTCCGGTACTGACTAATAAAAGCTTCTAATTTATAAAAAAGCAGATCTATTTTTTAAATAGTATATTCTAATTAATTAAAAACTAAGCTAAGCCGAATCCGGAAAATATACAAATTAATCCTGGCCCTCATTACATACAAAATTCTGCTACTTTTTTGGAATCGGGTAGCCTGTATTCTGCCGGCAGATTTCCATTTGCCGAGTGGCCGCAATGGTCTTCCGTAATTGTACAGACTACTAACGAGGGTAACTAGCGGTACGCAGCCCCAGCTTCCCGTTGTAAAGGGACCAACCAGTTCTCCACCCGACAGCGTAAAACAAGCCCACCATGCAAGGAGTGACAAAGTGGCTGGAAGAGCGAAGTCAGCTGGCCTCCAAAGCAACCACTAGAGCTGACGATGATGATCAACAAGAGACACGGAAATACCAAAGACACCCTGCCAAGCAACCCGCGCAGCACAGACCCCTACCTCAGCACCACGACCCCCTCACCCGCAGACCACCAGCCCCTTCTTGCCGCGTCTCCCCGCAGAAACCCATCTCCAGCACTACGGCTGGCTCTTCGGCCGCCGCTTGCCGCACTACTCCAACTGGTGGGACGACTCCGCGCAACGATGGCGGACCCTCCAGCACGGCTGGTTCTCCCTCTGGAACATTATCGTCAATGACACTTGTACCTATATCCGTGGACCCTGCGAACGTCGAGAAACCCCGCTCCGCGGAGAAAGAGTGCGATACCTGAATGGATCGCGCGCCGATGCGCACGTGTCGGCTGGCGTACATCGAGCGTTCGCGCGGCAGACCCCACGCGGGGGCACCCGCGCTCATCCGCCGGCCCACCTTGCGCTGGGAGCTGTACTGGACAGCATTCGCTTCCCGCACGCAAGCCCGCGCGGCCGCGCCGACTACACGCGCGTCTGGCGTGCGCTGGCGGCCACGTTGCCGCACCTGCGCAAGGTGCGGATCAGGATCAACCCTCGCTTTGGGGAGGATGAGGGCTCTGACGAGGCCGGGGAGAAGATTGCCGTCGGCGCGGGTTTATCAGGAGCAGTAGCAGCTGCTGCGGCGGCGGCGACAACAGACCCGGTCGAATAGTCGGCAGTTCATCGACGACGACGACCTCCCTGAGTTTCAAGACGCGTGGCTGGAAGGCATGGGGTGGGCGGTCGATCGTCTATCTGACTTGGCGCTCTTCCAGATCGCGCTGCACGTGGACATCTATCACCATCTGCGGGCGCGGGTGAAGCTCTTCCTGGCCGCCCGGCAACGACAGCAGCAGCAGTAGCAGCAGCATGGCGGGTCATCTCAGATTCAATACAGAATGTGGAACGCTCCGGATGACCGGATCCTCTCCACCAGAGGCGATACGCGACCGTTGTCGGCGGGCAGCTCCGCAAAGGCCTTGACCTTCGCCCTAACCTTTGGGTGGGAGGCAAGGGGAAGTGGAAGAGGCAGGTTGGGGGCAAGATGACTTTCCTACAGACCCGGAGCGAACCTACCATGTTTGAAAGCTTGGTTGTTGAACGCTCTGTGGAGTGGGCGGAAGGATCTGTTCATTAGTCCTTTGATTCTTCCTCGCAGTATAGAGCAAAACCGGCCATACCGCCCGGTTGTCAGCACAGGGTAATAGATACCTACGAGTCCTACAGTATTATATACTGTACATAGATTATCCAGAAAGGTTCCAGTCACCAAATTGGACGTGTTATCGTTGTCCTAGTCACAATAAAGCTTATTCAGGATCCAGTGGGTCATCGTCAGACGGCAGCAGCATTGGATGAACAAAGTCTGTCGGGACGGCGTTTGTCTACTCTTCGTTCTCTCACTACTCATTCCTCCGCAGCTATGAAACGCTCAGGGAATCAGGGAATCAGGCTTGAGCTGGATTGTTGTCATGAAATTGCGCCATCCAGTCACGCTCGGGAATTCAGAAACCAAATGGGAATTGATCTTACGGAGCGTGGTAAGACTTAAGAGCCCGTCAGCGGTAGTGCTCGCTCGGCTTAGGGCTTCTCCGGATGCGCAGCGAGGCAGCATCACATGATGTGAGTAGCCCTGGGAGGGTGCGGATAATTGCGTCTTTCGGAGTTCCTTCGTGCGTGAGCATGTGGTGTATACACTCGCAGAGTATCTAGATGAAATGGTCGGTGTTTGAGTTTATTCTCGAGTAAAGTGAAAGCTGATGTTACGGATACGATAGCTGAGTCACGATCACGGTCCATATGAACCCAGCTGGATGCTCAGTCGTGTACGTGAAGCATGTTTGATGCATAATAATTCTTGTGATTGTTATTGTTCAATTCTTCTTTTTTCATTCAAATCTTTCTTCTTAGGAAGTAAGAGAAGATAATCTCTTCCACTGCCGAGTATAAGAAATAAAGTACGGACACCTAGCCACAATTGCAGCCAGGGCTACTGTAACCCGTTCCCCAGCGTGCATCCCACCTCATGATGGAATAGAGGTGGGATCTTTGAGGATTGCCATCACGTCCAGGTGTGGTGGTCATCACTCCCCTAGCGATTCTCGGAGAGCAGATCCATCATGAAATCCAGGATAATCTGCACGAACGCGACATCCGCCGGCGAAGAAGCCGTCGGGAACTCCGTCTGGCCATTCCTCCCGGTCCAGAGCACTGGCGGGCCCTGAGGGTCGGGCGACGCTTCGTGGAAGAACCGCGCCTTTTGCAGCGGGTCGAACGTCGCCACGCCCGCGAGGATCGGCTCCGGCGGGCACGTGTGGTTCTGCCGCTGGGTGCGCCACTCGTGCTGGAGGAAGCGCGCCGCGAAGCCCCATGGATCGCCGTCAGCCAGATCGGCGGGAACGTTGAAGCTGAGGATTGGGGGTAGCTGGCGTCGGGTCCCCGGGGCGGCCTGGCTGGTCTGGAGACCGCGGGCGGCCGTCAGAGTGTCCTTGGCCGTGTGGATCGAGATTGTGTGGCCTTCAAATTCCGTCTGCCACGTCTCGACTCCGACGCCGGCGGCGAGTGCTGCTAGATCCATTTGGTGTGGGTGTGGGTGTGTATCGGCTAAAGCTTTTGGCTTGTGTTTTCCGGGTGAGGATGGATGCCTGGAGTTGCAGTGTAAGGGATGATCTCAAAAAGTATTCAGTGCAGAAGGGGGAGGGGAAACGAGGTATTTATAAGCCAGCAGAAGTCACCCTCTTTGCCAGCTTGGGGGGTAGATCTTCAATTGCGTAAATAGGATAAAGAACTGACTTCATTGAGGGCATACAGAGAAGGAATGATAGCGGGAGGATTTCATGATAAGAGGTGTTAGAAACAAAGACTGTAAGAGATATGAAGATTTCAGTATATCGGACAACAAAGCGCTTTATCTTGGTGCTACCGTCAAGTCTTTGGACCAGAGTACTGTGGATTGACGATACCCGCTTAATGTATAATGAGGAGCTGATGGCAATTAAACTATGCCTCTATCTGTTACCAAGTAAGAGATCCCAGTCTAGCGGTCCTAGCTCTGGTAATCCGTCTGAGAGCGTGAAAGGACATATTGGGCTTTGTTCAGTCCTGTATATCCGATAATCTGTTGTGCTTTCTTCTTGATAGGAAGGAGATTTGGGAGCGTCCATTTCTTCCTTAAGCGACAGCAATGTATTTCTGACTAGCTAAATGAAGTAGTATCAATACAGAGTGTGGATATCAAACTTCATCAGGACCAAAAGAAATTCCAGTATCCCTCAAAATAACCACCGCTAGAATCAACTCAGCTTCCCATCCACATTTCCTCTGCGCCCCACTCACGCTGCCGGCTAGGTGAACAATAGCAGAACTCGACCAATAGTCCAATGCTCGGTATTATCACGACTACCCTGCTTATGCCTGCGGAATTGTTTAACTTATTTTATTTTCGGTGAGAAATAACCATGACTCTATTCGTGCACTCTACCTCTACAAAAGCATAGAAGCCGCTATATGAAGAGAAGATACTGTATGTTAAATTTAAAATTACTTGTATAACTTGATGTTATCAGTAATCCTGTTTTTGAAACGCAGAAAGAAGAAGGAAGGATTATTTAAGATCGTAGAATTCTGGATTGATCGAATTTGAATGGGCTTGCCGACTGGTTGAAGATAACCTCTTACACCAACAAGAGTAGAAAAAGAAAAAGAAGGCACAACGAGCTCAGCCAGCTACCCTGCAACCGCGACGACGGAGACCACCCCCTGCCAACCTAACCGGCATGTCAACCAGAAACCGATCTTTCAGCCTCTCCACTAAGTCGAAGAGGTCCTGGCCGAGACCGTCGTCCCACCTGGCCGCCGCATCCGCCCCCGGCCCCCCCCTGCTTGGAGAGGAGATCCATCCTGAACGTCAAGATGTCCCGCACGAAGGAGAACCCATCCGCCGCCGAAGGGGCCGGGAACTCGGTCTGGCCGGTCCGGGACGTCCAGAGCAGCGGGGGGCCGTGGTGGGCCGGCGAGGCCTCGTAGAAGAAGCGCGCGCGTTGGCGCTGGGGGCACGTCGCGATGCCCGCGAAGAGCATCTCCGGCGGGTAGGTGTGGGGGTGATTCTGCCGCTGCGTGCGCCACTCGTGCTGCAGGAAGCGCGCCGCGAACCCCCACGGGTCGGCGAGATCGGGAGGCAGGTCGAAGCGCAGGACCTTGGGGCCTGGGATTACGCTCCCGTTCACGTTCACGCTGATGTGCACGGTCGCGTCCCCGGTGACGTGAAACGTCGGGTTGCCGTTCCCCGTGCCGTGGCCCTTTGCGAGGAGGGTGTTCGTGTGCACGGTGATCGGGTGGCCCTCGAACTCGGTCTGCCAGGTTTCCGCTCCGGTTCCGGCTGTGGCTGTGGTATGTACTTGACCCATTGTGATAATAGTTAACAGGTGTTTGATGTGTTTCTCTTGTGAGGGATGGGGTGATTTGGGTCTACCGTGTGAAGGATGATCGGGGAAACTCACGGTAGTGGAGAGGAGTAGCACAGGGGCTGTTTATTAACCAGCCGGGTTTAGGGTTGAAGCTATCGGTTTGCAGGGTTTTGAGGCGTTGAACCCTGAACTCTTTATCTTTGATCGAGAACTCATAGTGTTGCAGGATTGCAGGCAGATAAGCAAATCTGGAAAGTCTCATCAGGCAACAAAGGGATTTGTCTCTTGGCTACTATAAAGTGTTTGTATCAAAGGAGTGTGAAATTCTCATCCTCGCTTCACGACTTGTACAATAAAGAGGGCTTATGACAATCAACCCATTCCTGCATCTGTCACCTGGGAAAAAAGCCCCGTCTGGCAGTTCTGGCTCTGTTCAGCCAGCTCTCAGTTGTTATCACAACTACCCCACTTCATCGCCTGCGGAATCATCAAAGTCTCCTCGTCCTCGGCAAAGATTACCACATCCTCGCCTTCCGCCCCCACAAAGGTGCAGAAGCCGCCGCCCGGGGAGGAGATGCTGTACACGATCATGGGGTTGTCTGCACGGGTCGAGTCTTATCAATGATCCTGTTTTCCAAACCCAAAAGAGGAGTGAACGGCAACAGGCAAGTGAACGACGCAAATGGAAACATCTGAAACAGAGACAGGGAGCACGAACCGATCTGCACAGCAGTGGTGTCTGTAGGAAAGAGGAGGGAGTAAGACTCGTCCTCGGTTGCGCCGTGGAAGGTGACGGAGACATTGAAGGCTGCGGCGCTGAGGGTGAGGAGGGAGAGGGCGGAGAGGAAAGCGGTTCTCATTCTGGTCGTTGAGGATGGACTCTATAAAAATGATGCCTAAGGATGTGCGTGGAGTAAGATGTTTTCTGGCTTCTGTTGCGGGTTTACTGAGTTATTGGGATTGAGGAAGGGGTATGATCCGAGCAGGATCATGTTTATATAGCATCTTCTCGACCATCACCGAAGTCTCTATACCATGAATAGTGAAAAGGTCTCAGACGTAGACACTATATTTAGGCCTCAGCTGTGAGCTCAGAAACCTGACGTTGTACAACAGTAAGCAATCTTGCACCGAATGGTGGCAGTCTCGGGGTTGAGTTTAAGACCTGCATGGCATAGTCCCAAAAATAGCACGGATCGTATGCCGATGCAGCCAACCTGACCAGCTGGTTGGATCGATCCTGGAAGCTCGGGCATTTAGGCGGGCTAAGGCGTCCAGTGGCACGCGGATGATCCGACTCGATCTGCGGGTGTGGCTTGAGGCTTGGAACTGAGGAGGGGTGCAATTCCAAAGCTTATTCGTCACGAGATGGTCATGCCCAGAGGTCTTCGGCCTCGACATTTGTAATTGTTCCAAGTAATTGTAGGACGTGCTTCTTGAGAAATTTTCAAAGTTGTGACTGGCGGGTTAGTCCCTTCCTTCAGTACTGAACTTGCAGAAACTTCGCCATATCTGGAGTGCTGGTGTGCTCTCTTATGTTCTCAAGACCACTCCAAAATCAAAATGCTATAGACCATTCATGTAGACCCTACTGACGGGAGGTATCCTGCTCGTTCACGAGACTAATCTTGGATAAAACATTTAACTTAGTGGGGGAGTCTTCACTGGCACAACTATAAGGCCGGGTCACCTGAGTCTTCAATCTTACTCCCCATGCTTACGCCTAGGTTTGCGCTATGCATACTGGTACGCCAGTCGGACTGCCTCCCGGCCTGGAGGGGGTCTGTCTTTCTTTCCTCATGCTGTCTCTCATTTTCTGGCTTATTGGATAATTAATATTAGCATACAATCTTAATCATTAAGTCCATTGGGCCACGGGGTTAGGTTAATTCAAACGCGGCATATCCAGACATAGGGTTGTCATCCCGCCGCCTTCGCTCGCTTGGTATGTATACCTCCCTTCTTTACTCCTGCGTCACTTTCTTTAATCCCTATAGTCGTACTTTCGAATGCAAATACTCTACTCCAATGGATAGGCCGATTTCTACATAGTGGTTGCAGAATATGTCGAGATCGATTCAAGCACGGCTTCGTCAAGAGCTCCCAATCCGGCAGATTCCACAACAGTAGACCGAGCGATCGCGTCGGCGGTAGCAATATGCAATGGATGCCACGGGGTCGGCAATTTAGGATTTCCCCATTCCCCACTACCGCTGTGCAAAAGTGCAAGACTTCCTCTTGAGCTCGTAGAGGCCTCAGTGGCTGGAGCACCAAGTGGGCGGCGATACGAGGGTGGCACACCATGAGTTAAGTAACTTGCCTTTCCCTCGACAAGGAAATAATTATCATCCAGGAAATTCAAAAGTATTATTTAGGCTAGACATATAACGCAGCAGTCCAAACAGGAATCATCCAAGCACGACCGAGAACCTAGTTCTCAAACTCCAAGCCACCCTCCTGTCTGACGGCGCCATAGATACCCGCCAAGTCGCCCTTCTCGCCCTGCTTCTCCTGCACCTTCTCCATGTACTTGTCGGCCAACTCGACGCCCCGCATCGTGGCGCCCGCGGTACGGGCCATATCCAAGGCGTGTCTGGCGTCTTTGCGGACCAGATCGATGCCGAACAGCGGCTCCTCGCGCTTGTAGTAGTCTCCCGTGCGCATGCGGTTGGCGTACGCGACGTAGGGGCCAGGGAACACGTTCTCGAAGAACTGCATGAGCGCGTCGGTGCCCAGGCCGGTCTTCTCGGCGACGACCAGCCCCTCGGCGATGGACTCGACCATGCCGATGACGAAGGTGTTGCCCAGCACCTTCAGCTGCGAGGCCTTGGCGGGCGCGCTGCCCGAGAAGTCCAGGAACGACTTGGCGATCACCCCGGTCGTGTAGGGCTTGACGGCCTCGACGTCCGCGGGCGCACCGGCCAGCACGCAGATGACCTGGCCGGCGGCGGCCATGGCGGGCGCGCCGAAGACGGGGCTCGCGACGAAGCGCGCGCCCGCGGCGGTAAGCTGCTGGTGCACGCTGGCGGTCGTGTCCGGGTGCACGGTGGAGCAGTCGACGAAGAGCTTGTTCTTGACGTCGGTGGCCAGGGCAGAGGTGACCAGGGAGGTGATGGCGGCGTCGTCGCTGACGCAGGTGAAGATGATGTCCGCCTTGGTGACGGTGTCGGCGAGGGAGGTGGAGACGGTGGTGTTGGGGGTGGCCTTGACGAAGGCTTCGGCCCGCGCGGCGGTGCGGTTGTAGATGATCAGGGGGGTGGTTTGGGGGCCCTTAGCGGCGAGATTGGAGGCCATTCCCTGCGTTGGGTTAGTTTGAGGCTATATGGGTTTACATTAGGAGTGACGTACTCGACCCATGTTGCCGAGGCCGATCCATGCTAGACGAGGAGACATTGTGAAGGTTGATACGTTGATATATGAAGATTGGTTGGGAAGGAGGTGAAAGAGGTGAAAGATAAGGCAGTTGTGGTGATTGAAACTGCTGATGATGGTGGTGATGATGATGGGAATATGCTTGGATCTTTCCGGTGTTCTTATAGCTTTTCGAGGCAATTGAGGCGACACCTGGATTAGAAATCAGCCCCCGCTTACCAAGAAGGTAGAAAGAGATATGCCGCAAAGTAATCCTACCATCGAGTATACCACTAGGGTACTGCCCCGTGTACCCGGGCCTATACTATAGCTTACCAACTGGGCGGACCCTGCCAAGCAAGAACAAACTGCGGGAACCTAACCGCTTTGGGATTAGATTCCGCTGCAGAATCTGTGGCATGGTGGAAACTAATCCGTTTTAGGACGATCCGATTTTCCAGGGCTGCCTCAAACAGGCTCTCAAACTCTCCTGCCGATCCCGCTAGAATCTTCTAACTGGCTGGTTCGGATGGGTCTGATGAGTTGGGTCATGATGTAGGTTGCGGAACGGATTTCTAAGCAGCACTGCTAAGGGTGTCGTATAAGACACAGTTTCGTCTCTCCCCGTCGGTTGTCGAGTAAAGCTTGCTTTGCAAAGGAATATTAGGCATCATGCAGATCTCTCACATCGTTTTGCTTCAATTCAAGCCGGATGTTGGTTCGGACATCCAAGAGAATGTGCGTTGTTGGAGCTGGCGGCAAAGCGGGAATGCCGGCTGACAATTGCTTCCAGGTCGCTAGTCGGATCAAGGGTCTTAAAGACTCCTGCATTCATCCCGAGACCGGCAAGCCGTACATCGTCAGCATGAAGGGCGGTGTGGATGTCTCCATCGAGGGGTTGCAGGTAAGGTGCCCAGTGGTGTCTTTGGTGTGGTGACCTATAGCAGCTGACCTTTGGCTGGCAGAATGGCATCAGCCATGCGTTCGTCTCCGTGTTCGAGAACGCCAGCGATCGCGATTACTTCGCCAAGACGGACCCGGTGCACGTTGCCCTGGTGAAGGATGTCTTGCAGTATCTGAAGCGGGTGCAGGTGGTGGACTTTGTTGACGGGCAGCTGATTTAATGTGCTGATATCATGGTACACGGTACTATGCGGCTGGGATAGGCAATGCGCTGGCTGCGTTAACATCCTCTCAAGTCTCGGTACTCAAAGACGAGTTAGTCCGGTCTAAAATCACATGAATATAGAGCGATCTTACTTTTGTTTAATTGGTGTCAGCTGCCTTTGCTTTCAAGAATGAAGCTTGTGATCTGGGTCTGATCCGGTAATCCAAGGTTATTTGCCCATGCTGGGGATCTCGAAAAACCGTACTAGGAGTTGAAACATTGTCGGCCTGTCTGCCACGTGGAAGTTGGGACACCCTGGATTCTATTGGTTTCTCCCGAGTGGGTTCCATGTAGGACGGGTGTCCCTTGACATGCATGGGCTATTCAGTATGTATGAGTAGGATCTTAGTGCCGATGTTGTACAGTAGCTGACAGATCCAGTCCAGGAACAAATCCCTGAATGCCCTGATCCAATCCAGAGTCGAATCGGAGCTGTCTTGACACGGCTGTCAGCCCTATGTCCTAGCTCTATATACATGCTTATATTTATGTGATGGGAATTGGTGGGGGGTTGCTTGAGCGTTCTCTTTTTTTCCCATCGAGAAAATGAACAACACCACTATCTATATGACTAGGTAGGCTTTTTGTTATTATTCTGCTTATAGCTTACATGCCCATACCTGTTAGTGGTGCTTTGTGTTTACCAAGCATGTGAATGGCTCGAGATTCAGACACCTAGTGGTAAGTATCCTCATTCCTCCTAGGGAGACTATCTTTTCAATTCAAGGTATCAGTCTACTTGTTTGTGACTCACCCTACTCACCGCAAAAAAATGTATCTTTGATGTAGAAGTCTACTTGCCCCGCAGCATCCTGCAGCGAAGGCGTGATTAATCCTGTAAAGCTACAAGGATGCTGGACTTCTCGCACCATCCTCGCTAATACTATGGAGCCTCAATACAGTTCGATGAACTGGATGGATCATAATATTCCATGAATCAGAGACAGGAAAATAGATGAATCTCGGTGAGGCACTGATGAACTATCATCTGGGCTTGTGTGGTGGTGTCTGGCTGGTGTTCTTCGAATGGAGGTGGAAGGCGATAACACAATCCGGCAGCAAATGGTGCAAGCCAACCCTGACATGACAACATCCCGCACTCCTCTTCCTCTTGCTCCTGCTCCTCCCCTGCCATCCCTCCGGCTAACTTTTCCAATTATCACTTCTGCCATCTAGCCTGTCATCCGAGCGGCTTCTGATCTCTTGTTAGCGAGTTGGCGTTGTCCTCTTCGCCTTAGCATGCTGGGCAAGTCATGGCGTGGCCCAAGCACATTTCCGAGGCGAACAGCCGTGAGCTTGACCTGAGAGTATTAATCGAGTCGCGGTTAATTACCACACAAGATGATTGGCTTGCTAGATTGCTATCATATCTGACAGATTAGACGGTCCTACAGTTCGCCATCCACTTCAAAGCCACTAGTGTGGACTTGTACAAGAGCTGGACACCACGCTCTTGCACCATCGCTTCCTTGAAGCACGCATGCATACGCTCGTGTGCACCTTCAGTGCGCATACTGCCACCCTTGCACATGCCAAAGTGGAGTATATGAAGCGCACCGTCGCCACGATAAGTCGAATTCCAGGTGCGTCTCCTTGGTTTAGAGAGCTAGCTGGACATCACAGCATCGCGAAGCAAGAATGTCGATCTCCCATCAGACATCGGCACTCGATGGCAAACATCCTTTGGAGGATGTCCAGGCCACCAGCATCGACAGCCCGGCCGGAGACACCAAGGACAAGTCATCGTCGCTGGCCGAGCCCGACGATGAGCCTCAATCCCGGTCGCTCTTTGCCTTCTTCTCAGCCCGCAAGAAGAAGACGATCGATCTGGATGCCGTCGCGACCACGCGGAGCGTCTTCGACGACCCGAACCTGGCCCGTTTCTACCAGCCCCATGCGGACTACGAGAACTTGCATCGATTCGACCCGTCGGAGCGATGGACCTATCGCGAGGAGCGAGCCGTGCGGCGCAAGACCGACCTGACAATTCTCCTCTGGATCTTCGTCATGTTCTTCGGACTGAACCTGGATCGCGGGAACCTGAGCAATGCCTCGGCGGACAACCTCCTCCCCGACCTCGGCATCAACACCAACGACTACAACAACGCCCAGAACATGTATCGCATCGGCTTCCTGATCGCGGAGATCCCGTCCCAGATGATCGGCAAGCGACTGGGGCCCGACCGCTGGATCCCCGTGCAGATCATCCTCTGGAGTCTGGCCTCGGGCGGACAGTTCTTCATGCACAACCGGGCGGGCTTCTTCGCCTGCCGCTTCTTCATCGGCCTGTTCATGGGCGGATTCATCCCGGACGCCATCCTCTACCTGTCGTACTTCTACACGAAGCGGGAGATGCCGATCCGCCTGGCGTTCTTCTGGTTCGTCGACTCCATCTCCGGCGTGATCGCCTCGTTCATCGCCTACGGCGTCCTGCACATGCGCGGCGTCGACGGCCGCGAGGGCTGGCGGTGGCTGTTCCTGATCGAGGCCCTGATCAGTATCGTGATCGGCTTCCTCAGCTTCCTCTTCCTCGTCCCGGGCCCCACACAGACCCAGACCTGGTGGAACCCGCGCGGGTACTTCACGGAGCGCGAGGAGAAGATCATCGTGAACCGGGTGCTGCGCGACGACCCGTCCAAGGGGGACATGCACAACCGCGAGGCGCTGACGCTGGGGATGCTGTGGAAGAGTCTGAAGGACTACGACCTGTGGCCGATCTACGTGATCGGGATCCTGTTCGAGATCCCGACCTCGCCGCCCAAGTCCTACCTCAGCCTGTCGCTCAAGGCGATCGGCTTCTCGACCTTCCACACCACGCTGCTCGGCATCCCGGTCACCGTCTTCTCGGCGATCAATCTCCTGCTGGTGACGGAGCTCTCCGAGCGCTGGCACCAGATCTGCTACGTGGGCATCCTGACCCAGCTCTGGTCGCTGCCGCTGCTCATCGTGCTGTACCGCAGCGCCAGCGTGCTGTCCCACTGGGGCCTCTACGCCGTCACCTTCGTGCTGCTGGGCTGGCCCTCGCCCCACGCGGCCCATGTCGGCTGGTGCTCGCGCCTCAGCAACGCCGTGCGCACCCGCGCCGTCAGCGCCGCCCTCTACAACATCACCATCCAGCTGTCCGGCATCGCCTCCTCGAACATCTATCGCGACGACGACAAGCCGTACTACCACCGGGGCGACGGCCAGCTCATCGCCATCAACGTCGCGACGATTGCCGTGTACGTGTTGGCGAAGGTGTACTACGCCAAGCGCAACCAGTGGAAGCAGGACAAGTGGGCGGCGATGACGGACGAGCAGAAGGCGGATTACCTGGAGAATACGAAGGACGAGGGAAACAAGCGATTGGACTTTTTCTTCGATAGCTAGGGAAGGACTGTGGGATCCGGAAGTGGTCGGAGGTTGTTTGGGTGGTGTGGTGTGCGTATTGGGTTTTTTCAGTGGTGGAAGGAGGGTTGGATTATTGTAGGAAATGTACAGGCCAGAGGAATAAGGCCGAAGATAGATGATTGCCTGTCCTTGAGATTGCTCTGAACGTGTTCTAGTTATGTCACCAGCTTAGGACCTAGCTTTGCTGCCTCGGGTTATCTTAATGTTTATAGTATAGTGGGAAGGTCAGTGATTGGGCCAACAGTTTTATTCTCTCTCATCTGTTCATCTTTCATCTTCATCCTCCTAATCCAAAGCCACTCCAAGTGATGTCCTTCAAAATTTTGCTGGCCAATTTAGATTGCAAGAGGATTAGCTTTGGCAGCGCGATGACAGTTCAACCATCATTTACGCAGGCACATTAAGAACTCTGCCCTTCCGCCTCGGTTTGATAGAAGGGATCTTTCGATTCTTCTCATGCTCGGTCACGCTCTGGTTTGCCTCATGATTCACAGGCCGCGCCAAGTCGGTTTGGGCCGAAAGGGAACGGTAGTATATTGCTATTGTTATCAGCTAGTAGATACAGTACCAGTAGATTGCAAGTATAGCCTCACACCGAGGCCGAATGACGTGACGGAGATAAGTCCACCAACAGGACCCCATTTCCTGGACCCCTGCTTAGCATCTCGGCTATTACTGCGAATTGCCTGACCCAGTCAATAAGCACTATGGTGTACTTTAGATTAACTGCACGATGCCGAACCCCGGGAAGATGACCACCGACTGCCCCTCGATCACGTCTTTTCCCACCTATAAAGCCCTAAGTGATGCCGTCAGCAATGACAGCCCAGCCGTAGCTATCTGAATTTTTCCCCCCTCGCACTTGGCGATCAACCCCTCCATTTCTTTCCAGGCTCTCTAAAACCACCGACCAAAATGGGTTCCATCCAACCTTCGGAGCAGAAAGACCTGGTCCTCCCCCCGCGACCCCCCAACCTGCCACACCCGGAATACCGCACTCCGCGCGGGGTCTCGCCGCTGGACTCGGTGCGCGCCGCCGGCCTGCAATACCCCAACTACACCCCCTTCAAGCTGCCCAATCTGAGCATCCAACCCTTCACCGACCGCGGCCTCTCCTCCTCCCCGAACAAGCAGGCCCTCCTCTCCGCCGCGACGGAGATCATCCACCTGACCCCGGAGATCGGGACGGAACTCACCGGCCTCCAGCTCACGCAGCTGACGGATGTGCAGAAGAACGACCTGGCGCGGCTGGTCGCGGAGCGCGGCGTCGTCTTCTTCCGGGATCAGAACATGGACGTGCACGAGCAGATCGCCTTCGGGGCGTATTTCGGGGAGCTGCATATTCACCAGATGGCCGGCATCATCCCGGACCTGCCGTGGGTGCACCCGATCCACAAAGATGAGACGGCGGTCAACGGCCGGAGCCATCAGATCTGGCATTCCGATGTCAGTTACGAGCTGCAGCCGCCCGGGTTGACGATGTTGAAGATGGATACGCTCCCCAGGGCGGGGCCGGGCGGGGAGGAGACGGGTGGCGATACGATCTGGGCGAGTGGGTATGCTTTGTACGAATGTGAGTTTTCCTCCTTGTCTATAAAGTGGGAAATGGGTGGAAGGTCCAGGGATAAGGGATTGGGGATATGCTAACTGGCGAGCGTGCCAGCCCTGTCGCCCAAGCTGCGCGCCTTCCTGGAGACGCTCGAGGCCAAGCACAGCGGGCTGGAGCAGGCGGAGAAGGCCCTGCGGACGAGTGGCTGTCTCCGGAGGGATCCTATCGAGACCAATGTGGGTTTTTCAGTCTTTATTCTGTACTGTCCAATGGCTAACTCGTGGGTCGACGCCAGCACCCCGTCGTCCGCACGCATCCAGTGACCGGCTGGAAGACGCTGTACGTCAACGAGAACTTCACCAAGGAGATCGTCGGCCTGGAGAAGCGCATCGGTGACGGCATTCTGGATAACCTCTATCGCACCGTGGCGGAGGGGTACGAGTTCCAGGTGCGCTGGAAGTGGACCAAGAACGCGGTGGCCATTTGGGACAATCGCGCCACCTTTCACACGGGGATTTTCGACTACTGTGAGTCATCCTGCTATCGCTGCTATCGCGTGGAGAATCTTTTAGATGGGTGAGTGGACGAGAGTGCTAATGTTCCGCAACTGATAGTCCCCCATCTGCGGCATGGGCTGCGGGTTGCGCCGCAGGCTGAGACCCCGTATTTCGATCCCAAGTCCAGGACCAGAAAGGAGGCGCTTGCGGAGGAGAAGGGCAAGGCGTGATCGTGAATAGCGGCAATAGTGTGTATACATGGGCTGTGCAAACAGGGTCTAGTCGGTGGTGTGATCGGTAGAATCGAAAAATACAATGGCTTTTCCCTCATTGACATCAGTCCACGTACTGTAATATCCAACGAGAAATTTCTTGGTCAAGATAGTCCAGGTAAAGCTCATTCGCTTAAACCTGCAGACCACCCCAGCTGCAGGCACCATCCCCCCTAGTCCAACCATTTCACCGTAGGTAATATAGCTGCAGGATTGTTTAAATTAAACCATGATCACGTCAATCTTCTGCAGTCCCTCGCCATGCTCCTCTGCCCCTGTTCCTGAAGACACGCTTCAGGTATAAAAAGGCGTCCAGAGCCCCTGGAATCCTACCCCCAGACAAGCACCAGCGTCATCACAATGCTTCTTCTCTCCTCCCTCGTCCTCGCCGGCCTGGCAGCCGGCCAGCTGATCGGCCCCGTGGGTCCCACCACGGACCTCTCCCTCAAGACCCACGAGTGCAGCATCCTCGACTACGGCGCCGTCGCCGACAACAGCACCGACATCGCCACCGCGCTCGAGACCACCTTCACCGAGTGCGTGCTCCCCAACCCGGGCAGTCGACTGATCGTCCCCGAGGGGAACTACCTGATCGAGCGCGGGGTCGTACTCAGCAACGCGACCAACTGGGCGTTCCAGCTGGATGGGCTGATCACCGCCGCCTACGGGGGCAACTGGACCATTGAACGTGCGTTGATCCTCCAGGGCTATGCCGGCGTGGACGTGCTCAATTCCACCATCAACGGTGAGGGTGACCAGAAGTTCCTGCTAGATGTGCTTGTTATCGTGAATGGTATGTCTTCCCCCCCCCCCCCCCCCAACGGTTCTATCCGTTTTTTCCTGGTGAGGTGCTGATCCACGACGCAGCGGTCGATTTCGAGTTCTACTCGTCCAACGGACTCGGTGCAATCCAGGGCCAGGGATACATCTATCGGAATCTCAACAAGTGAGCCTACTGTTTCAGTCATTGGTGCAGATCCGGGTGCTAATGAACAACTGCAGCACCGATCGCCCCCGTCTGGTGCGCGTCGTCTCGGCTATCAATGCCACCGTCCACGACTTGATCCTGGTCGACAGCCCTAAGTTCCACTTCGTGCTGGACTTTGGCGTGAACGTCGAGGTCTACCACTTGACGATCCGCGGGGCGAACCTGGGCAGTTACGACGGCATCGATGCGATCGGTACCAACTACTGGATCCATGACAACGAGGTTTGTTGTGCTGTCCGGCCCCGTTCCCATAGCTCGTCCTGCTGATGATGGATGTTCATGATGGGTAGGTCACCAACCGCGACGAATGCGTCTCCGTCAAGAGCCCGTCCCACCACGCCCTGGTCGAGAACCTGGTCTGCAACCAGGCCGGCTCGGGGATCTCCATTGGCAGCTTGAACGTCTCTGCCGAGATCTCCAACATTGTATGTCATCCGCATTTCCTCGGTGGGTTGATCACACACTGACCGAAGTGACAACGGAAGGTCGCCAAAAACATCAGCATCATCCAAGGCAACAACATCGCCTTCATCAAGACCTACCCCGGGGGCTCCGGGTACGTCACCAACGTCACCTTCGAGAACTTCCGGTCCAAGGCCAGTCTGTACGGGCTGAGCGTCAACCAGTACTGGCAGAACACTTTCGAGCCGGACACGGGCGCGGTGGCGTTGAGCAACCTGGTCTTCAAGAACTTTTCCGGTCCGTCGCCCTCCTACCTCCCACTGCACAACTGTCCCCAATGGCAGGCACGTATCCCGGATACTGACCCCATCGCAAACAGGCTCCGTCGCGCAAGGCACCGTCCGCCCGCCGCTCTACCTCATCGCCAACGACCTCACCTACGCCACGAACGTCACGATCGAGGATTTCACCGTCTGGACCGAGACCGGCACCAGCGTGGTGAACAAGATCAACAACGTCTTCGGGACGGGGGACGATTCCTACGGCGCAAACGACGGGATCAAGTCCCTCGCGCCCGGGGCGACCCCCACCACGTACACGAGCACGTACACCATCACGGCGTCGCCGACGGGGTGGACGGCCCCCGCGTCGCCGACCTGGGCGGTGCCGAGCACGGGCTACGGGAGTGAGTGTTCCCTCTCTTTTTCCCCTTCGTCTGAGGATGTCCCCCTTGGGCTGGAAGTGCACGTAGTCGAGTTGGACGATGGCTAATCTGACGCCCCTGAACAGCTGCGTCGCCGATTCCGGTGTACACGCCCAAGCCGCTGTGGAGGCCTGGCGGGGTGGATTATGATTTGCACTACTGGGGGAGCTTTTAGAGGGATGGGGGTTGGGGTCGGGAGTGTTCGGGCTTCGGAGCATAGATTCATGTAGAGCATTCACCTCGTGATCCGTTGACGAGTCCCGGGGGCGATTGCAGTCTGTAACTGCTGGAATTGATTGCTTTCTGTCGGAAGGACTCCTGCTTGAACCGTCCACTGCCGCGCTGCGTCGGCTCGCGGGCAGTGCCTCAGATAGCCTCATGAATGACCGAATGCACCATTTATCCACGTTCTCCATCACCGTCCTTCCATAACCGCAGTACGTAGGGTATCCATGTCCTCTCACCGTCACTAATGAGCGTGCCACTAGGCAGTCGCGGGCCGTCGATGCGCTGCTGGCCACCGGTAGACAAACGCGGGGTAAATAGCCAAGCTCAGGTGACACCATAGAAGGTGTTTCACGTCGGGTGCGACGCCTCGGGAGTTTGCATACAGCCAGCAGAGGGAGGAGATTAGGATTCCAACGACAGCGAGGCGGGCGACGAGGGTGCTGGAGTCCATGGTTTCAGAAAGTGGTAGTGCGACGGTGTGGGTGGAAGAATTGGCTGGAAGTGAGTAGAATAGAATGCAAAAGGGATAGGGATACACGATTTCTGTGTCCTGGAATTTGCTTAACACACGTTTTCAGCTCGGGTTGCCGGACTTGGAGAGGAGACTCGCTGCCTAAATATTCGTCGGATATTGTGGGATGGTATGTCTCACTACAGTGCTCTAGCTTGAGGTAGTTCCTCATCTAGCTTCACGCCGCAACTTCGGCCTAGAATCATTGAAAACATCGACCCACTTTTCTGAGCGATGTTAAGAGCCCCTCAGAACGCCGTCCGGAATCGGTAAAAGCACAGAATGAGCCGCGCGCTCCCTTTTTCAATCGACAGCAGTGAGCGCCACTGTCTAAAGGATCTAGAGCCTTGATCCAAGGGCAAGTGGACAGTGGCTGGGTATTTCGTTGAGGGTGTAAGTTAATACCTGATGGTTTGTTAAGAAAGCACAACGATTCACCTACAAGCACAAACTTTCGTTCTTTTATTCTGTTCACCTGAACCCAAGGAGGAAGACCCACCCGATGTCAGCCCAGAGTTAGGGCTTGCGACATCCTTTATTATCACCCGGCCCAGTGCTCCTCGGCTCCGAATCCACCAAACTTTGCGCGTATATATAACACAATTGGGATCATCGATCTTGTCAGCGCCTCAGGGAACATCATTCGAGTGATCCTATACAGCAGATGGCTTCAACAATTAATATAACCCCTGACTATTCCAGTAAACCCATGGTCGATAGGGACTTCAATCCCAGGGGGACCCGGAACCTCACCGAACTCCGCCAGAATCCGACGGTCCGATCCCTGCTGCCCCCACCGGCTGCCGGTTGACTGGTGATCATCGACCCAGCCAGAGGGCCAAGATGGCGCTGACTTAGGTGTACATGCGAGTTAGTGGAGTGAACTCACCCTACAGGCGAATATCACATGGATCTCGTACACGGCCAACTCATGCATTTCCTGTTTGGGTTGCAGTCTTCCCCAAGGTCGACTACCTATCTTCTGAACCTTTAGCCCGGTTTCCTCACCGTCGACCCTGTAGACACTTTCTGTGTATGACTTGGGCCAAGTAGCTGAAACTATCACGAATGCGTGTTCCGTCACGAGGCGCGATTGGTCTATGGGGGACTTTAGGTTTTGATTGACACGGTATATCCATAGATATTACATATATTAACAGAGTAGACATTCATACATGTACATGGAGATCCGAGAAATCGTGCTTTGTAGACCTCTCACAACAGCGAACTGGAGGATGTGGGGCTTCAGGTCTGGCACTGGACCTAGAGGAGGGTCAATCCTTGCCATGCATCAAGATAACAAATGAACCAGACAGCGAGATCGCCCTAGGTGAGAGCGACAGCAGCACCATCGAATCAACCGTGAAGAGTTTGTTGAAGATATGCGCAACAGGGTCGTCGCGGGTTGAGAAGAGGCCACAGGCTGAAACACCCTCAAATCGCGAGCAGACAAGAAATGTAATTCCTCTTGAACATTAACCAAAACCATCCAAAATCACAACCCAGAATCCATTCCCTTCTCGCACTCATCTCTACCACCAACCCAAACCATGCCAACTACCACTTACTCCACCGTCAACCCCTCGACCCCGACCAATTCCGCCTCGCGATTCAACGCCTCAATCTCCGCCCTCGCAAGCGGAATCCCCTCCGCCAGCCTCCTCTCGCGCATCTCCAACTCAATCTCCCCAGGATAATAAATCCTGTCCACGCCCTGCATCTTCTCCCCGCCAACCACGCGCTGATACAAATGATCCATGCGCGCCTTGAACTCCTCCAACCCCACAAACAAATCTGGCTTGACGGCGACAATAAAATGCCCCACATCCGCCTCACGGGTCGGATCATACGGACCGGTCACATCCCCGGCGAAGGCACTGCCCGAGAAGACCCCGGAGAAGACATCCATCATGATGGCGAGCGCGGAGCCCTTGGGCCCGCCCATGGGCAGCATGACGCCTTCCAGCGCCCTGGCCGGATCCGTGGTGCGGTTGCCGTCGGCATCGAGCGCCCAGTCCTCGGGGATCGACTCGCCGCGGCGGAGCGCCTTGTAGATCTTGCCGCGCGCCGCGACACTCGGGGCCATATCCAGAATAAAGGGGGGTGCGGCGCCGGCGGGCGCGCCGCACGCGATCGGGGACACGCCGAGGAGTTTCTCGCGGCCGCCCCAGGCGGGCAGGGCGGGCGAGGAGTTGGTGAAGACCAGGCTCATCAGGCCGGCGTCGACGGCCTGCTGCACCAGCCACGCCGACATGCCGAAGTGGTTGCTGTGCTTGACGGAGACGAGCCCCACCCCGAACTCCTGGGCCATGGCGATCGCCCGCGTCATGGCCAGGTGCGCGGCCACGAACCCGAACGCGTTGTGGCCGTCGACCTGCGCGGCGACGGGCGTCGTTTGCGTCAGCGTCGGCACGGCGCCCGGGTCGAGCACCCCCTGTCGGATCCGCGCCATGTAGCTCGGAATCCGATTGCTGCCGTGCGTGTCGACCCCGCGCAGGTCCGCGGCGATCAGGCAGTCGGCGATGGTGGTCGCGTCGGCGGCGGAGACGCCGTTGGCTGTGAGGATGCGGTGGACGCAGGCGGCGAGGGTGGTGTGGGGGATTTTGTGGAGGTCTGTCATTTTGGGGTGGTTGGGTTTGGGTGTGGTTTGGTTTGTGGTGGTCTGTCCAGTAGAGTAGGTGTATGTGTTCAACTGTGGTTGAATACAAGTACAGTACTTGGAACGATACTTATTTCAATGCTGCGAGTGAAATGGTCCGAGTGAAATGGCGGATCGTCCCCGCGCGGGCGGATCCCGTCACGGGTCCGAGCTCGGATGGCTTCCGCTGGGCTATGCGGCTTCTGATTGGCTATGGGCACGGTATCGGCACTGCCTTGTGGTATCATGGATACTGGTACTACCTACTGCCTTACAGTATTCCAGCCCTGCATTCAGTAACAGATCTTTTCGTATCTAAATATTACTCTCTCACAATCCCGAAGCTATCTACAGCACAGCTCTGATCCTCTCCCCCCCCATCTCCTGCATCATCGACACAATCCCCTCCAACTCCGGCGCCGACCTCGGCACATCATGTCCAGAGGAATGCACCAGCGACCTCGTCAGCCCGCTCTCACACAGCTGGATCGCCCAGGACGACGCATCCCGCAGCCCCTTCGGCTCGTTCCGGCCCCAGACATGCAGCGTCGGGATCTGGACCTTCGCCGCCACGACGGGAGGGTACAGCAGCAGCGGCGTCTCCTGGACGGGCTTATCCAGGAAGAAGCCGCGCGGCTCGCGGGTGATCGGATGCACGCAGTCCAGCAGGCGACTGATGGCCGTCGTGACCGTGCGCAGCCGGTCCGGCAACGTGTTCAGCTGCGCGTAGTCGCACGAGCGGACCTTGCTCCACTCCTCCGGCCGCAGCCCGGGGTACAGTTCCTCGACAAAGGCGCGGTCGGCGGAGCAGGCGAAGATGCACGAGAAGAAGACGGCGAAGCGGAAGGGGTACTCCGCGGGGGCGGCGCCGACGGCCGCGAAGCCCTCCAGCAGATACGACAGGGCCACGGCGGCCCCGTGGCTGAAGCCCAAGACCCCGTCGAAGGGGCCCTGCGTGCGGATCGTGTGGTCGAGCAGCGTGTAGGTGTCCCGGGTCTGGTCGGGGGACATGCTCCGCGCGTAGCAGTTGAACGGGCCGGGGAATCTCTTCGCTAGGCCTGCATTCACTCACGGTTAGTCGAGAGGATCAAAGTGGCAGCAGGAGTGACTTGCCCACGGCGGGATGGCACTCGGTCGGACCGCGCAGGAAGACGAACTCCCAGTCCGGGGGCGCGTGTTGGCGCAACCCCGCCAGTTGCTGGTTCATGCTGGCCGGGTTGGTACCGTATCCGTGAAGGCAGAGAATCCTCATCGTGGCGGTGGCTTTTTTCTGACTCTCTTGCGGTCACCTTGAGCTTCCTGGGGGAGAAAAGCCTCGCGACTTTTATAAGTCCTGCGTGGCGAGCCTTCAGCCCGGGTCGGCATGAGTTGCCATTTCAGCCTCTGCTGCAGCATCGGCTAAAATGGCCACCCAACCGTGGGCAAACGAAGCGATACGAGCGAGCTCAGCTGCTACTGGCCTTGTACTTCTTCAGGTATACTCCGTGGAGGGTGGGACTATCGATTCGTCGGGTTGCCGGTCAGATCGCCATGGACTCGTGTGCGACCCGCTTTTCTGCAGGCGATAAGCTCGTCAGCGTCAGCATCGTGTCAGACTATTGTTTGCGGGTGGCTGTGGATTGCAAAGCATGACACAACCAGGCCAGGGGAAGACATAGCTGATGCGGTGTGATAAAAGGTGCATATATTAGTCGGATTGTCAGGCTGGTTGTTGTGTTGTGATGGAATCAGCCGCACGGGGCCCAGTTGGCGGAGTACTAAGTCTCCTCCCACTAAGCTTTCCGACCCCGACAGCGGCCCGCGGGGGTTCCCGCTGGGTATGAGGGGTTTTCTTTCCGCCCGGGCAAATGACTTCGTTGACCTCGGAACTTGCTGACATAGTAAGATAAAGGGGACCAATCTAGCTTCTATATGAAGATACTCTTACACCCGCTACAGGAAGCCTTCACTCTGCCAGACCAGCTAGATTATATCTCAACATCACATAACCCACAAAACACTTCGATCCACTGCTCAAGAGATCCACTCACGCATATCAACCCCCGTTTATGCTTAATCGTGGTCAATCCGACCGCCGGTGCGAACCCTACACCCCATCCTCCAATCCCTCAACAAAGCTCCTTTCAGATCATCACAATAAATGACCAAAGAAAGAGTGTCCCCTTCCCAGGTCCTCTTCCATCAGCCCCGACAAGCAGAAAAGATCCAATACGCCCCAAGCCAGCCCCATCAAAACCCGATCAAAAGTCCACACCTAACACAATCCAGCAACCCCGCCCAAGCAACCACTGCACCTACCCATAATCAACCCCAAACATACCCCCAACAAGCCCTAGAACACTCCCCCCTCCCCCACCCTAAGCCACCCAGCTAACTACCCGAACCGAGCCCAGCCCATCCAGCCCATCCATCGCAACCCAACCCTCAATCCCTCACCACGAAATACCCCAACACAACCTCCCTCACCGCAGGATCCGTATCCGTATGTATACCCTCCACATCCCATCTACACACTTAATCCAATCCCACACTGCTGCTACAGCTACTACTCACAAAATGGTGTATGGTACTGTCCATAGGGCTGAGATACTCACCAGGGATGGTCCACTATACACCCGTCCTGACAGCACACAGCGGCGCTGTGCACGCACCAGGAAGACGGCCATACAATATCAAGCACGCTACTCTACTCCGTAAACCCGGACGACACGGATAAGATATCCCCTTGTCGGACCAGGATTGCATCTGTACTGCTTAATCCAATGAAATGGCGACGGTGGATGCAGTGGCCAGCGCGGGACATGGTATCTTGAACCATGCAGGGCGGTTAGCGGGGGATCCTGGAGGGTTATCTTGGACTGGATATCCCGAGACTGCTTGAGTTGGTGGGGTATGGTTTGACGCTCAGTGGATGGAACTCCGTATCTGTAGTGGTGATTGCTGTCGGAGGGGGTGGGAGGAGGGTTTGAGTGGATGGTTTTATGCATTGCTTGTGCGTGGTATTATGTCACTGTGCATGTGGGGAAGGTGGATGGAGTATGTGGAGGGATGTGGGGTGGGGAGGGGGAGGGAGAGGGAGGTGGATGTGGATGTGGATGTGGAGGGATGAGGCGAGGGGTCTTGTGTTGGGTCTTGGTGATTGCGCTTGAGTGTGAGCTGGTGAGGCGAGTACAGTGTCAAGGTTAGGTCATGAGGGTTCAGTGAGTACTTTATAAAAGTGTTCATGGAGACGGCTATATTTTCTTGTTCTACTTATGTCAATAGTGCTGTGGACACGTAGACTGAAGCTGCTGAGGGGTATGAACTAGGCATTCTAGTTGATTTAGGTGAAAGGAGAAGCACTTGTCTTGCGATCGAGCTTCACCTAAATAGATCTTATTGCATTTGTCCCAGATTGAAGTCTATGCTAAGCCATCACCCTATCTTGCAATGCTCGCCTCATGAGCGATCCCCGAGTCGAAGTGTAAGGCAAGCAATCCGCCGCGAATTATAGTCCCCTAGGAGTATAACCCGGTATACGAATAACTAAATGCTGACAACCATTAGGGACCCTCCAAAGCTAATCACGGCCAGTCAGCCTTACAGCGAGCGTAGTGGGTCTAAACCACGCCGCTGGCCCCAAACATACATCCCTAGTGATCACCTGTTCTCTCCACCCATTTCCCAGCAATATACCTCATGCACGTTGAATTCCAGTAAAAAATGCAATCAATTCTAGGTATCAAACTCTATCCAAATGCAATGCCCGCTCAAATAGCCCATCACACCAAGCTGCTGCGCGGCCCGTTTACTTGCCGAAGACCTTGAAGCGGTCCTCCAGCGGCGCGAAGGCCTTCTCGCCGGCCGGGGCGGTCGGGGTACCGAAGACCAGCTGGGCATCGAGCTTCCAGGAGGCGGGGAGGTTCCACTGCTTGGCGACCTGCTCGTCAATCAGGGGGCTGTAGTGCTGGAGGTTGGCGCCGAAGCCCTCGGATTCCAGGGCAGTCCAGACTATGGAGGTTAGCGAGGCCCTCTAGGAAAGAATACAGAGTAACCTACTCAGGTACTGGGCCATGGCGTTGGACTCGAGCGCCCAGGGGTTGAAGTTGTCGGCGTAGATGGCGAACTTCTCCTTGATGGGGGCCAGGGAGTCGTAGTCGACGAAGAAGAGGACCTGACAATGTTAGGATGCACACAGCTAGTAAGGTCCTAGGGGAGGCGTACAGTGCCGTAGCCGTTGCGGAAGGCGTTCAGCTTGGGCTTGGTCTGGTTCTCAAAGGTCTCCTTGGGGACCTGGCCGGCGGCGACCAGCCCCTCGAGGGCGCTGATGGCGATGTCCCACAGCTTCTGGTGCTCCTCCTTCAGCAGCAGCACAATGCGGCCGGTCTGGGTGTTGAAGGAGCTGGGGGTGTGGAGGACGGCCTGCTGGACGAGCTGCTCGATGGCCTCGTCGGCGATGGGGCTCTCGGCCTTGAGGGTGTAGATGGAGCGGCGGGCCTTAGCCGCCTCCAGGATGGCGGTGGTGGCGGGGTTCTTGAACTCAGCGGCGGTCATTGTGGCGGTTGATCGGGTTTAAAAAAAAAGTGAAGGGTATCAAGAGCGCTGTGAGTGATTAATGATTGTGTTGAGGGGAAAATGGAGGGAGCAGCGACGACTCCTCCACAACTATATAGGCGATCAACCGGGCGACCGCCACCACATCCTGTTGTTTTCTGCCGTAATTCCAGCCGAGAATTGTGTGCCTGTCCGGAATGCCCCCCCTGATCCCACGGATTATGCACTCCGGCCCCACCTTATTCAATGCTTATCAAATCGCGGAATCATCCCATGCTGGAACTGGGTTTTCCTTGGTCATCGCTGACTGACAACCCCTCCACACTCGGGCAGGATCCCGCAGGTGGAAACTTCCAGACATCCGATCTCCCCACATGGAAGTGCAGACAGAATCGAAGGGAGGTGAATTGGCGCATAGGAATCGATAGAATCGTTATTTGTGGATCTGTAGATTATGAATGGTGGCCAGCCTACCAGGCTTGGTTTAGGTAGACTCAGGGAAAAACTTGAAGGCCGATGGCTGCTGCCTGAGGCAGAGATGGATGTCCGTGGCAGCTCCGACGGATGCACCCAATCAACGGAGGCCTCGGACTCAGGAAACATCCGAGTCCGTCGCACTAACTGCTGATTCCGCCATCTCCTACCATCAATGTCCGGATCGACCCCTTGACAATTTGTCAGCTCCACCGACTTTTCACATAATCAGCATAATCACATTGAGGATCTGATAACAAAATCCCTCAGTCGATGGCCGCCACAAGGGATGGAGGCGCAGATGCATTCGCCTCATTGGACCCGAGAGCCGACGGGGTCGGGTTTCTATGGGCCGCACAAAACGGGTATAGCAAAAGTGCCAGGTGACCAAGGTGCTGCGACAGATATAGAACCGGGGCATACTCGAATGACGCGATGGTCAAGAGACACGGGCCACGAGACCCTAGAAGAAGAAAAGAACCCGAAACAAATTGTCTATATAGAGCACTAAGAAACACCACCAGCAACCACACTCAGCGGGTACTCGATCCATCCCTGCAACTCCACCGGCAACAACGCCCTGACTCCCCCAACGACATGCTCATCCCACCCCCTCATCAGCCAACACGACTGCATATACCGGAGTATAATACTCCAGTGCGCATACACCACCAGCGCATATGGATCTCTCGCCTCTAACAACGCAATCATCTCCTCTCGCGCCCGATAGATCCACCCCATAGCCAGATGCATCAGACGGATTCCGTCCTTGCCGGCGCTGCGGATCGCGTATGCTTCTCGGAGAATGGACATCAAATCCTCGATCGAGGCTGCATAGACCTCGCAGACGGCGACATCACTCACCTGCGACGTGATCCAGGACCGCAGGGCCTGGATCTGCGACAGATGCTGGTCCAGCTCCGTCTGCAGTGCCGGACTGACCTCCTTGATACTGTCGTCGGGGACCGGGGTCAGCACCCCCGTGAAGATGCGTTCGTGGTTGGTGGTCAGGATGGATCGCACCCCGCGGAGCAACACCAGCCACTCGGACTGCCCGCTCTGACTGAACACAAGGTATTCGCCGATGCGTGGCCCCCGGCCAAAGTAGGCCAGGCAGATCAACGCCGCTGACATGTAGATCAGCTGGCAATTCTCCGAGTTCAGCAGCGCCAGCACCGCGGTTACCGACCGCACCCCAAAGGTGAAGTGGTCGTCCGCCTGGGCGAGGTACTCGGCCCGTGAGTCGGGGTTCTCGGCCGCCAGATGAAGCGCCGACAGCGAGAGAATGAGATGCAGGATGGAGGGAAAGGAGATCCCCCAGCGTGGCACGTGGTTGGACCAGACACCATGCGTGTCCCCTTCCTCGTCCGCCAGCGTCTTGTAAGTAGTGGTCATGTAGTGGTGATACAGTTTGAGATCCACGAACGAGATCCCGCCGGGCGGCTGGCTGGCGGCGAGGTCACATTGGGTTCCGGTCGACACCGGCCCCGACCCTCGAGCCTCCGAGCCGGATCTGGATGCTGTAGATGATTCGGTCTGGGTCGCATGTTGGTACCTCGATCGCCGAAAGCGATACTGCCGCGTGGTGGTGCTTGAGGCGGACGGAGCGGGAGCCGGGAGGATGAAGTCGCAGTCGATGGAGTGGCGCACACAGGGACCGCACGCGGGCTTTTTCTCATCACACTGCGAGTACTTAGCCCTTGCGCGCACCAGCAGCCTTTCAGGGATGAAGCAAGCGAACAAGTGCCTCGCAGAAAAGCCCATCTTGTAGACCAATTCTCGTGGACACACCAGGAAGCGACAGTGTAGAGCAGGAGAGACAACGCACCTTCACTCGTCTTCGCTTGCAATTCTGACATCCCAAGCGAGATTTATTGTGCGATCGCCGAGAGCGTGCTCGTGTTGAACCTGACTCGTCCATGGCGAGGCATGCATGCAGTGGCGGGAGGAGCCCTGTACGTGAATCGTATTCGTTTCCTTTTCACCGAGTTGGGGGAAGAAGGCTCTGAGCTATCGCCTCAGGCACCAAGGTGTGTATCCCATCACGTGGGTGCATCCCTTGGGTCGGCCAAATTTAGCTTTGCAGACTGCAGGTGGCACACATGGTTGCCTAGCCCATGGTTTCACATCCATGACCATACATGCAAGCATGAGGTGAAACAGGAGGAGCCATCGCTGTTGACATCTCACCCTAAGCATCCCCTGCACTTCCTGCAAAGCACCAGTGCAGTTCTCACAGAACTCTTATCTTATCGAGTTCCGGGGATCCGATCCGATCCCGGCGCCATGCTCGACTAATCCAACCAATGACATTACTGCCCGTAGGGATATCATCACGACATGAAAGCACCATTGCAGTAATCGAGGGGTCGACTGCCATATATTCATGCATTGCCTTCTCCATTGCAGCACCGCGCCGTCTCCTCGAAGTTCCAGACTCAGACTCATCGTCCCCGGCTGCAACCATGGGCAACAACATCTCCTACACCACGAGCGAAACCCATCTCCCCATCCCCAACACCGAACTGACAATCAAGGGCCTGCAAAATGGCACGCAGTCCCGGCGTTTCACCGGTATCCCCTTCGCCCAACCACCAGTGGGACCTCTGCGCTGGCGTAAACCCCAGCCCTTGTCCCTGTCGCAATTAGCCCAAGAATCATCAACCTTCGACGCCACCACCTTTGGCCCCGTCTGTCCACAAGCCAACTACTCCAAGTCGGTCAGCGAACACGTTCCAGTCCACACCTACAGCGAAGATTGCCTTCGCCTGAACATCTGGACGCCCGTGCCCGACCCCGCAACCCCGAACAAGAAGTACCCGGTGATGATCTGGTTCCACGGCGGATGGTTCCAGGTCGGGGACCCCAGCCAGGAATTCGGCATGGATCCGACCGAGCTCATCTCCACAGGAGGTCTGAACTGCGTCTTCGTCGCGGTGGGGTACCGTCTCAACATCTTCGGCTTCCTGGCCGGGGACGCCCTGCGCCAGGAATCCGGCGGCCGGGAGGTCGGAAACTACGGTCTCTGGGACCAACGGCTGGCGATTGAGTGGGTGCACGACAACATCGAGCACTTCGGGGGCGATCCGGAGAACCTCATCCTGTCCGGGCGGAGTGCGGGGGCTTACGCGGTGCAGGCGCAGGTGTTGTTCGACTTCCGCGCGGGGCCCGACGTGATCGACGCCCGGTCGCGGGATCGCTTTCGGCGGCTGGTCATGTACTCCAACGCCATCCCGACCCAGCCCAAGACCCCCGAGGACTGCCAGGCGCAGTTCGACGAGGTGTGCACGTACTTCGGAATCGGGGCGGAGGTCTCCGGCGAGGAGAAGCTGGCGCGCCTGCGCGGGATCGAGGCCACGGCGCTGTGCGACGCCATCATGACCCTCGAGCATCACACCTTCCGAGCGGTCACGGACGGCGTCTTCATCCAACCGGGGATCTTCGGGTACTTCCGGGACGGCTCGTTCGCGGCCGAGTTCAAGAGACGGGGTCTGCGCCTGTTCATCGGCGAGGTGCGCGACGAGAACACCCTCTACGCGGTGACGAACAGCCCCGACCCCAATCGGGAGTCGTTCCGGCTGCAGGTGGAGAATTATTATGCGCCGGCCACGACGGAGAGGTTGCTGCGGCATTATGAGCTGCCTCCAACGGATAAGAAAGAGGAGTGGCAGGCGGTATTTGGAAATCTCATCGCCGATGGCCAGGTGCGGGCGCCGTCACGGTTTCTGGCCAAGAATTTGCTGGACCACGGCGTGGGTGTCGACGACGTCTGGCGCTACCTGATTGCCTACCGGCTGTCGTTCATCACGGAGAAGGTCGCCCCGGCGTCGTTCGGAGTCAGCCATGCGATGGACAGGCCGATCTGGAAGTAAGTCTTTCCCGCACTCGTGTAGTCACGTCTTGTTGACCGAGTTAGCTACTCGACAATGCACGGCCCGACCCCGGAGGAGAAAGTGTTGCTGGATACTTGGATCCGGGACCTGGCTGCTTTCGTGAACAACGAGGAGGGTTACTCCTATGGCACACACGTCGCGGATGAGTATAAGGTGATGACTGCAGAGGGCAAGATCGAAATTCAGAAAGATGTCAGGTGGGAGCCATTGCTCAAACTGATGGATGTTTTCTCTGGGTTGGAGGGGGCTGCCTAGTTTGCCGCTGGGTGGTGGCTTCAGTCTCATCTCCGCAGGGAAATGGCCGCTGACCGCCCGGAGCTCTAGGCAATCGGCCACTGCCCAGCATCAGCAAAAAGCTCGCTTTGAGAGCATAAGTAGTGCCAGGATCTCAATGAGCTTCGATTCTGGTAAAGTCAAATAGTCAGCAAGGCAGTATTCCTATTCCTATTGTAGCCGTGCTATTCGTCCGCACGGCGGAAGTGCAATTCAGAGGTGGAATCAACTACAATAGACTGAGAGTAGTTGTAGCAAGCCATTCGACGCTAGAGTAGAGTATGAGTTCTAAATTCGGCAAATGTTCCCAGATGCCATTCTATAGTCTATCAGTCTATCTATATACAGATGTATATCTAGGAGAATCATGACGCGCGATGAGGATTTAGCCGCATCATCGAACAGACAGATCCAACTCTGAACTATTTTCTCTCATCGGCGAGGACAAAGTGAAAGACACCAGGCGCCTCGCTCTTGCCACTTCCTTTGTCGGACACATAGATGCACTTTCTGAAAGTCGTCATGAGAGAGTACAAGAAGCTCTCCTGCTTTTCCTCGTGGTAGTTGGCGCCGAGCATGGGCTGGATGGCCTTGGTAGCCTTCTCCGCGTGGTAGAAGGGAATGCGGCTGAACAAGTGGTGAACAACGTGATAGTCAATGATCTCGTGGAAGAAGTGACGGCCGATGAAGCCAATGCTGCGGTCGATCGTGGCCAGAGCGCCCTTGGTGTAGGTCCAGGTCTCGGCACTGTAGTGAGGAACGGCAGGGTGGGTGTGCTGGAGGTACGTGATGGCAACTAGTACTGTCAGTGTGCTGGATTGGTCGGACACATTATAAGGTGTACTCACTCAGCCAGTGGTGAACCCAGAGGTAGGGGATCACGTATAGGAGAACAACGTTCCAGCCTCCGATCTGGGTAGAGGCATAGTACAGAACAGATCCCATGATGAGCAGACCCAAATCAGACAGCGCAATGCTGACCCACTGAGCGCGAGTGAAGATAGGGCCGAAGGGGTTGAAGTGGCTGGAGATGCCCTTCAGAGGACGGTTCTCGGGCAAACTCTTCGGGCCAGCGGTGACGTTGAGAAAGAGGTACAGCTGCCAGCCCATGAGCTGGTGACCGATGAGCTGGACGAAAGAGACGATCGGGGTCTCCTCAGTCAAGTGCTTCAACTGCTCGATGCGCACGTTCTTCTTCTTGGCCAACTGCGAGTCGGTCCAGGGCACGAAGACGGTATCCTTCTCCATGTGACCGGTGTAACGGTGGTGGCGAGCATGGGTGATCTTCCAGGAGAAGTAAGGCACCATCAAGAAAGAGTGAAGGGCCCAGCCGACAAAGTCGTTCAGCTTCTGGTGGCGGGAGAAAGCACCATGGCCGCACTCATGGGCCAAAATCCAGAGTCCCGTGCCAACACAGCCCTGGAAGAAGCCATAGACAGCCCAGGCAATGATTCGCAGCTCCAATGTAGGGAGGAGGTAGATGTGGAAGGCAGCGTAGGTCAGGATAGCGCAGTAGAGGATGTCACGGGCAACGTAGAGGAGGGAGGTGACGGCCGAGGAGTCGAAGCATTCCTTGGGAATAGCATCTTTGAGGTCTTTCAGATTGGGAACGGTGTCATCTTCGACTTCCTGCGAAAAGTGTCAATGGCTTTCTTTTTCTTTTCGGAAGCATACACTTTGGTCATACATACCACCACCGTCACAATAGGCTCCTTCTTGCGCAGTTCGGTCAAAGTCATCTTTGCAGACTATGAATCCCACCAAATATCACACTGAGGGAATTGAATTGTGCGAAAGAAAAGCCGTGTGCAGCTTTCCGAATTTTTGTAGGAAAACCATAATGAATAGGGTCAGTGATCAGCGGCCACTGAGGAGACCCAATTAGGCGCATCGTGTTCCTGGCTTCTTCTGGAAGGCCTCTCGCCACACCTATGAGAAAGCTCCGGTGGAACCACGGAACGGTGTCAGATTCTGTATCCACGCTAACTGTCAATATCTCGGCGCCCCCTGAGTGGCTGCATTCCTTTCTGAGACTGAGAAATCGCAGAAACGGCCTGTCGTGGTTTGCTCCGCCGGTCTAATTCGAGGCCCTCCCACGGATTTTGCCCGTGCACACTGTGGAGGTCGGATTCCCAACAGTTTCAAAGGGGAATCGGATCTGGAGAAAACTTAGATTTGGGAACGACTCTGCGAGAAAACAGGGATATTTTCCTTGCTCAAGCTGGGGTTATCGATAAGCTCTGGAAATTCCATGCAAAAGGGGAACTCAATTAACCCCTCCAGGCTGTCCCCTGAATGTGATAGATTTGCGGGCTATAGATAGACCAGAAGTAAGGGATGCAAGCCTGCAATGGAAGGCCATCCATCCTCCTCCACCGCCCTCGCATCCCCCCAATCCCTTTTGAGTTTAGCCTCTCGTTTTCTGCCTTAAGGTTTTTTTTGGTAGTTTTTAGTTTCAACGTTTTTTCTTTCTCAACAATTTTTAGCGAGTCGTCAATCTTCGACTGGTATCTTTCTTATTTTTTCTTCTCGGCCGTCTGCATACCGTCTGCATCTCGTCTTAGGGCTTCTCGAGACACGGGACAATTCAATCTTCGCCTATTGGCCAGCACTATTGTATTGGTCTTGCCCTTGCGGCATAAACTCGGGATTTGCATGACTTCTGACGAAGTACGGAGTATGTACACCGCCGGAAGAGTCTTCAGTAGATACTCCGAGCATGCCCATTGAATCTTGGCCATATAGTCCCACTTGCATGGCCTTCTTATGCTGTCAAATCCAAGAACCTCGACAGCAATTGAAGCTCCCCTTCGTAGTTCAGCTCCCCAAGATCTTTGCCGCTAAGAACTGCGCCCAGCTGCTGCTTTGTGACAAACATCGTAAAACCAGCAGCCTCTGGTTTCGCTGGTTCGGTAGTGACCCGGCTGGTCAACACGCCGTTGCTCACAATCAACCTCCACCAGCTCCCCGTGTCTTTCACGTGAAAATCCATGATAAAGGACTCCGTGGCAGCCCGAGGCCCATGGAGTCGGACGGAGAGTAGACTGAGCCACTGCTCCACCGACTGATGGGGGTTTAGCTCCCGAGCCGCCAGCCCCGGACTGTGGCGCTGGGAATCGCCTCCTCCCTGGCGGAGGTCCAGCGCCCCGGTAAGGTAGAAGTTCCTCCACGTCGAGTTCTCCGCGCTGTAACCGAGGCGCTCGAACACGGAAGCCAAAGCCAATCGGGCCTGTTCATGTGTCGGATCCAGCGCGACCGCATGTCCCAAGAGCGTAGCGGCGAAACGACGATCTCCCTCCCGCGCGTACGTCTCAGCTTTCTGAACCACCGCCTCGATGCCGCCCATGCAGTCGACATAACGTCTTGCGTTTTCCACGGGCGGATGCTCCCAGAGATGGGCCGGGTTGCCGTCAAACCACCCCATGTAACGCTGGTAGATACCTTTGACATTGTGGCTGACGGACCCGTAAAACCCTTGTGCGTGCCAGGCCCGCTGCAGCGCGGGTGGGAGAGCCAGGGTCTCGGCGATTTCGATCCCCGTCAGACCCGTATTCATCATCCGCACAGTCTGATCATGGAGATATCCATACAAATCTCGTTGCTCCGCGATCAGTTGCTGGATCTCCTTGCGACCCCAGGTCGGCCAGTTGTGACCCGCGCACAACACGTCGGATTGCTCCCCGAACCAGACAAGCGACTCGTCCAGGTACCGCGCCCATGCCTTCGCATCCCGGACCAGCGCCCCCCGCAGGGTGATGATGTTATGCAAGGAATGCGTGGCGCACTCTGCGATGTACAGCGCCCGATGATCCGGGAAAAAGAAGTTCATCTCCGATGGCGCCTCCGTCTCCGGGACGAGCTGGAAGCGGATGCGCACCCCATCGACGACCCTCTCCTCCCCAGTTGCGGTGATGTGCTGGTTCGGCGGGATCAGCGAGGGCGTTCCCGTCGAAACCGCCATCCCAATGCCGCAGCCAATCTGTCCCTCGGGACTCTTGGGCAGCCGCGTCCCGTACATGAAGGCCGCCCGCCGACGCATCGCCGCTCCCACATAGATGTTCTCGCTCGTCGCTTCCTCCATGAACCCCTCGGGCGCGAGGATAGGCAACGGTCTCGCCTCATCTGGCGACGTGACGACCCCGCGAGCGCCGCCAAAATGGTCGATGTGCGAGTGTGAGTAGATCACCCCGGTCACCGGCCGGTCCCCGCGGTGGCTCCGATATAAAGTCAACGCGGCGTGGGCGCATTCCACCGAGGTCAGAGGATCAATAACGATCACGCCCTTAAGGCCCTCGACGATGGTCATATTCGCCAAATCGAACCCGCGAACTTGGTAGATCCCTTGCGTCACTTCGAAGAGTCCTTGCACGGAGGCCAGTTGACCCTGGCGCCAGAGCTTCAAATTGGCCGTCTCCGGGCATTCGGAGTTGTGTAGGAAGGCGTACGCCTCATTGTTGTAGACAATCCGCCCGTCCGAGCTGCGGATGATGCATGGCTCGAGCCCGGCAACGAAGCCTCGGGTGGCATTCTCGAAGTCGGTTCTGTCGGCGAAGTCGGGCTGGATGGGTGGAGAGGACATGGTGTTCACATTTGGTCGTCACAAGACTCAGTAGTGCGTCGGAGATTTATAGGAAACCACAACATTGCTGCGAAGGTTCCTTTGTTCCTTTGTTGTGCGTGACCGCGGCAGTAATTGACGTTGGTCGCGATGGCGATGTGATGATCCGGGGCTGCGGTTCTATCCCGGCTATACATGTTGCGGCCGAACCCCGATCGGGAATCGGCGTTAAGTTGCAGTGCTACGGAAAGTGCTGGTCACCTGACCGCAAACAAATAGTATTTCCGGCCATGGTCAAAGTAGTACTTGCCAGTAATATGAGCGAGCTACCTTAAAAGAAAGCAATCTGGAGGATATCTTCAGAATGGCAGAGCTTGTCTGTCTTCTGTACTACTCCGCGCTCGCGAAAACAGCAGAGGAAGCCCACTATGTCGGCCCGAGTACATGCGGTTGCTAAACACCCAAACCAGTTCACAGAATCAGACTCCGTCCGTAATCGGTCATTGACCGTTTCGTGCAATATTCAAGAGCAATTATGGAGAGCGCGTTACTAGATAGCCTAATTGTCTTGGAAGTGATCGGTTATGGAGGGAACGCAGTGCCCAGCAAGCTAGATTGCGGAACATGCAGCGCACGGATAACTATGAGATATCCCTTTTCATTCGGGAAAGTTCAGGAAGAGCCCATTGTTGCACCCATTCGCATTCAATGATTCCCTTGGCAGCTGGCCGCTTCTCAGGGCCGAAGCCAGGCATATCTCTAATCATAGTGAGAAATGCAGACGTTTCGGCCTCTCCCATCGCTCGCAGGTTGAATTCTTGTCTTGGCTCAGAAAGAGGATGAAGGGGTTCTTCTAAACTACTGAGTGCTCTAGTAATCCTCTTGGAGGTGGTCGAAATAGAACCGGGCATGTTGAAAACTCTACTGTTCCAGCAATGCTACACATTTATCAGCCGTATATTATAGTCAAAGACTACCGGGAACTGCTTTTACTTCATAACCGGCAAATCCATGCCTTCAAATTATTCTCCAGTTACAACATAGTCTCACTAACATAAGCAACCGTCTGCAAGCGCAACCTCCGAACGAAGATCCATCCCTACAGTAGCCCTCAACGACTCTCATAAAACAACAGCAGCAGCAAGCGCCACAGCCGCAACGCCTGCTACCACCATCGCCTCCCCGGTGATCAAAGGTCCGACACCCTGGCTCTTCGACGAGGTCACCGCGTTCGTCGACGTGGCGTGCCCCGTCCCGTTCGCCGAGCCAGTACCCGTACCACCAGCAGTCCCAGTAGTCATTCCACCCCCCGAAGTATGGTTCTTGGCACTCGAGCCCGAAGGCCCCGCCGCGTGGGGAACCGTCACAGTGGCCGTGGGGACCGACGAGCTGAACAGCGTGAACACCTCGTCGGTGGTCGCCGTAGCCGTAGCCGTAGCCGTCACGGCGTCACCAGCGGTAGCGGTGATGGTCACCGGGAAGCGCGTGAGGTTCTGGGTGACGAGGGCGTAGCCGGCGGCTTGGTCGATCGCACTCCACGTTTCGTGGTGGGCGTGCATCGGGGACCCCTGGATGTGGGTGGTCTGGGTGCAGGTGACCAGGGGCGAGTTGTCGAAGGCGCAGATGATGGATTCGTAGCCGATGCTTTTGGTCGGCGGGTTAGACAGAGTGTGTGAAGATAAGTAGACAGGCAGCCAGCTAGCCAGCCAGCCAGGCAAGACTCACAAATCGTCCCTCGTGGCGGTGCTGAAGACTTGGGTCGTGGATGGCTCGGCTATGACGGTCACGTCGGCGGCCAGGCTGCATCCTGATGTCACCGGGTTCGTTTGCTGGGGGGTCACGCAGGTAACGAGGTAGGTGGTTTCGTCCGCGTTCTGGGATAAGGGGAGTTAGCATATCGGTGGATAGGTGGGCACGGGAAACGAAGGGACTCACTTCGCCCGCGACGGACGCGACGAGGCCTTCGGTCTGCGGTTCCATGATACCAATGAACATATCGGTCACGGTCGCCTGGGCGGCAATGAGCCCAGCCAGGAGCAGGACGAGAAGGGTCTTGAGGATCATGATTGCGTTGTGAGAAGGTTAGTTGGACTATGTGGAAGATGTGAAGAACGAAGCACGATGAATTGGTCAGATGGGTTGTGCGTGAACGATAGATATGAGCAGAGGATGGTGACGAGAGGCGGTTTGGACAAGAGGCGGAGGGAGGCTGGAGGAGTGAATGTGTTACTCAGACCGGCAGTGTCATACCTCCAGGCTAGTCGGTGTACCTGCTTGACTTAGCAGGGGAGCAAATATCACCGACCACAACTGGAGTATGCTGAATATTGCTCAACGTACTGGATGCAGTGAATGATCCAGAACAGTCTGAGCGTCTATTCTCACGACTACTGGCTTGATTGATTAATCATGTATAAACCCTTCTAAGTACTCCCTTCATCGGCAAAGGTCTTCAAAATGGGCAGTCTTATTAGCCAGGACACCCGTGTACAGCTGCTGTCCGTTCTTCTTGAGCCCAGTTATAATAGCCTGTCCTTCACTGCTTGTAACCCACTGGGCAAACCTGTCCGCCATCTTGGCGTTTGCGGCCCCCTTGCCAACGAGATGTGGGCAGGGTTGAGCAAAGGGTCGAGCAAAGGGTCACCGGAACTGTCGGTACCCGCCTTATAGATGGCCGTCTGGCTCTACAGATCCTCTGAGATTGTGAGTTAGGTGCCGCAATCCGTAACGGTGTACTCCTCCAGAAGGTTGGCGGCGGTCAGCGCCTAACAAAATAAGCGATGTACTGACGGTACCACGTGGAGTATGTCGTCGTCCATGGAACCTAGTAGCTGGGAGATGAGCATCGGTGCGACCACAGCGGGACTGGAGCAACGTACCTGTTCAATGCCAATCCAGAGGTCGGATTCCTTGATGTTGGTGGCGGACTTGTCATACCGTGAGAGGAACATGGTACCAACAGGGGCGCCGCCGTTCTTGGCCGCGGTGTAGAGGCTGGAGAACATGGTCAAGATGTCGTCGGTCTTGTTCAGTCGAACTGGGTTGGAGTGAGGGTCAACCAGCAGAAAGTGGTCGCGCCAGGCGTACCAGGCAGGGCCCTTGGCCACGCTCTGTCGGATGGCAAGCGACTGGGCGGCGGGATTGTGGGTAATGCCCATGTCCACAGTGTCGTCCTTCAGGTGATATATGGACTGTTGTGTCACTCTTGTACCAGGCGACCTTGAATGGTGCAGAACCGGTTTCCATGCTCGCCTTGATGAAATCATCTGCAAGGGCTGTGACAAGATGATGGGTTAGTCAACTAGGAATTGCTATGGGCGACTTCGTAGCATCTACTGACCCTCAATAAATCCACTTTGCCCACCACCGCCATTCCAAATGCGAAGCTTCACATCGATAGCAGAATTGCAGCCTCCGTTGTACAATGCAGTCGGCTCGACGGCGATGGCCAAAGTAGCTAGTGCTCCGAGTAGCGTATTATGGTAGATCATTCGGAGAATCTGGATGCAGAAAAGTAAGTATAATGACCGGTGCTTGATTCCTGCTTCCACTTGTCACTGGAGCAGCACCACGGCGAAGCGAATCAGAAAAGCAATCTTAGACAAGCTGAAGATGATTGAAAGATCGAATGACAGTGCATTCAGAAGCGCATGCGAACGAACTTCTGACCGCGAGAGAAGGATGAGATCCGGGTGCACGCTAAGCCCTTTTCGAGTCCTCCTTCTCCTACCAGCCTCAATCCTCAGGCAAGTCATTACCTGAATATCATTACAGCTCGAAATGTATCCTTTCTCTGCTTTACTGATGCAATCAACTTGGTCCCTAAACCCACAATCTATGTTGCCACTCTATCATTCGTCATTAAGCATTACTCTATCAATCATCTTCCGATCTAAGCTTCATAACATCATGACATCATGTCCCTCCATCCCCTAAACCACCTCCACAGGAGTAGCAGGCCTAGTCGCCATCATTTCCTCCTTGCGCCTCCTCTCATCCTCCATCAACCGCTGACAGAACGGACTCTTCCTCCGAATCCACTCGCCCTTGTAGATGAACATCACCGGAATGGGGATACACGCCAGACTCGCGAATCCCAGGATCGACGTCGCCCACCCCACGCTCAATGCAGAGTACATAGGGTCGGCCGCCAGCGGGAACACTGCACCGAGGATACTTCTGGTGATGAGCGAGGCAGACAGCGCGCTCGCGGAGTAGATCTTGTACGCGTCGGTGACATACGTCAGGAGCGAGATGAAGAGGATCTGATAGCCGACGCCGAAGAACAACCCGGAAAGCACCGGGACCAGCCAATAGACGTGGCGGTCGGCCGTCCAAGCAAGCCAGAAAAGACTGATGGTGAGACAGGGGCCACCGATCAGGCAGATCGGCAGGCGCTGGTACTCCGGGATCGTCGTCCACTTCTTGCCCTGGGCTTTGGCTTTTTCGTAATAGATGTCGTAGTAAAGAGAGATGAGGCCGGATGAGGCCGCGCCAATGCCAACTGTGTTTTTTTGTCAATACCATAAACGCAGGTGGGACTTGCAAGCATCATACTGGGTAGAAAGCAGAGTGAAGTCTGCTGCACATTAAAGCCATAGGTTCCTGTATCGCATCATTATTATACCATTCATCGATCGAGAAAAGATATTTCGAAGTGCTTTACCTTCAAAAATGATCGGGTATGCTGCAAAGCAAAAGAAAATGAGAGCATAGGCGAATGAGATATAAAGAGCACTGAACAGGATAATAGGCTCGAAGATGACCATAGTGATAGGTCTGGTGAAGATCTCAAGAAGGCTGGAGTTCACTTCCACCTTTTTCAATTCCAGCTGGGAGATGTAGCTGTCTGTCTTGAAGGTGCTGTTCAACTCCTTCACTTTCTTTTGGAGAATGACACGCGCAAAAGTCTCTGCTCGGCAGCCTGTCAGTATGCACAAAGTCTGTCGCAAGGCATATCACTGGAAACGTACCCGGAAGAAATAGGGCCCCGATCCAGCAGCTTCCAGCCAGTATCAGGTCGATGCGAAAGGTCCAACGCCAACCATATTGTGCGCTGCACCCCGACATGATTGGCCCCACAATCGGCCCGAAGCTTGCAGCCTGTTTCTCTCGGTCACTTTATGTCCAATTAACCCCAGCAAGGGGTGCCCGATCAACATACAGACATATAAAAGGTCATCACACGGCCACGGTTCCGAGGGTTCGAGAACATGTCCGCATAAACACCACCAACAACGGTCTGCGGTGCAGCACCCATCGCACCACATATGAACCGGAAGATCAATAGCGATGACCAATTCGGAGCGAAAGCACAGGCAAGTGTCGCTAGAACAAATACTGTAAAGCTTCCAAGTAGGACAGACTTGCGTCCAATGGTTTCACTCAGCGGACTGAATCCCAAGGGACCGACGACATATCCGATGAGAAAAACTCCCGTTGGCAGCACCTTTTGCGACCCGCCATCGACGCCAAAATCTTCCATGATATACGGGACCACATTGCTAGGCAAGGAAGACGATATTCCTGAATTCAGAACAAGGAACAACGCCGCGAGGACTGTATATATTTTTTTGGTCTGTTGGTTTGAAGCAATCGGTCAGCTCATGGAAGATGACACTGCGGGCACTGCACCCAAAACACACATACATGGCTCCAGTTGGTAGGATGTGCTATCGAGTCGTGATCGAAATCTACCACAATTTGGTCGTCCATGAATCGGGTCAACTGATATCCCTCTGTAAGCTTTGCACTCGGACCTTCTGAAAAGTCGGATAGAATTCGACCGTTGTTCCTAATATGCTTTTTATCTGCTATGTCGCATGAGAAGTGAACTCTGCAAGGGTGCGCTTCGAGCTCCTACCTGCAGCAACAAGTCTGGGTTCAAAACCCTCGACTACTGAATCTGAAGCCATAGTCTCTCGTGATAACAAGAGCAGTCGACCTCAAAAACGAATAATGCAAGTGAATCCGATTTGATTTGTGTATACCGTCATTCTTAGCCATTGCGGATAACGAGCGTTATATAGGCTTGTCACCTGCGGGACCCTACAGAGATGAGGTATCAGTGAGTCACGATAACAACGTAACTATGCAAGCATTGAGGCATTTTGATGGAGCTCTTGGCTTGGAGTATGTCTTGAATGCCCAATGGGAGACCTTGTTTACTCGGACCTTGTCAATCGCCAGACCGGGCCCGGTCCGGCCCCGGTGCAGCGGGATGCCCACACAACGGCCCCGACCTGGAGCCGGTTCACAGGTTCGATGTTGGCAACACAGTCTAGAACTTCGTGAGTCCAGAATTCTAAGAGCCCGTCATGCAGCACGCTAATGGCCCACTTCAAGGGACGATCACCGGACACCAGGGCACTTATGCAGAGAGTCCCAAGCCCGTTCTACAGCATTGGCTGGGACATGATCCATGTCCGGTTGGCGAGCCCACCGCAACTTTGTCGCAAAATTGTCTTCTCACTCGCATACCATTCTTGACTTTCTGTCGACATACAGATTATCGCATGTGAATTTCGACTGCGCGACAAGCGTGGCTTCCACAGACGTGTCAGGGATTACCTGTCTTTGTGCGGGCCACACATTTTATCGCCCATACATCACCATCACCTGCCCCCACATAAAGAATGTGCTGCTAGCCATAGTATGCTGTTTCATGTTGTCGGTTACTGCGGCATAGAAGGCATCGCAGGGAGGAAGTCGAATATGTCATTCTGCTCTTCTTCGAACAGCCCGAACGAATCTGCAATCGGGTGACATAGATTCCAGTTGGGAGCTTCCATTGGTCCTGGTGGCCGGGGTGGGAACTGCCTGGGAGGGGCAGATCTGTCAGTATTGGGTATCGAAAGCAGGTCGGTGTCTTTGACCCCTTGGTGAATCGTCTCCGTGGCTCCATAGCTGGGCTGCTCTGACGGTGCCGATGCAGACGACATGGGTACTTTAATGCCGTCCAGATTCTTGTTCGAAACCAGCTGCTCATCCACACGCCTACTATCCTCCTGGACATGGAAGCAATCGTCGCCCTGTCCGCGCTGGCTCGCGACAAGCGCGCGACCATAGTTGACAAAGATCGACACGGTCCGGTGGATATCCGGGTAGGGGGGTTGCTTCAGAAGGTCACATATGAGTTGGGCCCGTTCAAGGAGCAGGTCTTGATCAATCAAGTCTGGCCTCCATCTTGCGATTCGTAATGCGAATGTTGCTGTATGGGGTCAGATGTTCGGTGTCACCATGCACAACAGGGATTATGGCTGTTGGGACCACTCACTGACAAAGGCGATTGTCAAAGCTGGATATGTAGGAGTCCATGTCAATTGACATCGGTAGGATGTTTCTGATATGATCAAACCCAGTTGGTCCATGGTTGCTGAGGCAAGCGAGCGCCATAAGTGGGAAACATCCGGATCATCTGTTTCTGAGTCCGATTCGGTGCTGCCACACTGTAGCTTTTGGATCCGCGCCAACGATGCGCAAAATGCAAATATCCGAGCATAATTATGCATCAACTTGAGACTGCAGCGTTGAAATGCGCCCGCATGAAAGCCATTATCTTGAAGACACCTTCCGTCAGCGTCTCCAAGCATGTTGGTGCGGGAATGGAGCCTTACTATTATGAATTTCATCCCAGGTATTCCACCATGTCTGTAATCTTGCCATGACAGCCGGTAATTCGATGCCAACGATTTCGTGAATGGTCTTCGAGTTTTCGACAATCATCCGGAATTGGCCTAACAAGTTCAGAAAAAGAACCAAGAGGTAAAGTCAAGCGTGCACTTACTCCGAAGCTGGTGAATTTCAATGATACATATTGTGCGCATATCGCAAGGCAACGAAAGCGGGTAATCGAGGAATTTGCGTAGTTTCGTAGTATCAACAGCGTCAATTCTTGATTTCCGACCTGTGCCGGACGCGACATCCAGTTCGAGTGTGAAACTGATGAGCCAAGTCCTAGTCTGCCACACCAGCTTCCGCTCTTCCAGAGTGGCGGAGAGCGCACTCCGGGGTACATTCTGTTGTGAAAGCAAGGTGTCTAGCGACTTCTCGAGCCCCGAGTCAAGGGCAGTGCGTAGGATCAGCGCTGTGGAGAACCAGGTTTTCTCCGAGTAGGCCGCGAGCAGAACCATCCCCTGGACAGTTTCGACTTTGGTCGGTCGCTCGAAGAAACTGTCCTCGGCGAGTCTCTGTGCTTCATCCTGTAGTACCCGCTGGAGGTGGGTGTTGCTTCGGAGGTCGAGAACCGCCCGGCTGGCTATGTAGATCATGACCGAGAAGCAGAAGAGCGAGCGCGATCGGATCGAATCGAAGGTGTCCCGAATGGGGTCGAACAAGGCAAGGAAGTTCTTACTGCCGTTGAAGAACCTGGATTCGAGGGTCAACGTTGTCCTTGCTCGAGAGTGCTTGAGTGAATGCTATTCTACCTACCGTTCATACATCGACCGTGCCTGCTCCTCACTGATGATGCCTCGAGCGATGATATCACTTCTCAGGTCGGCCTTGTTCGAACTATCCATGAAGATCTGCTGGCGCGGTTAGCGACATGTGCTCTGTACTATGAGCGCGACTTACACTGCTGGACCCGAGCAGATTCACCGACATGGAGTGTACGACCGAGACGGGGGCAATCATGTCGTTGGGGCTTAACTGCTGGCTGCTGTCCTGACCGTGTTTCTCGGAGGCGCCTGGAGAGCGGAGGTCCCCAGAGTCAGGCAGGGAGTCGAGCGCACTGTCCAGCGCATTCTCCTGTACGACCGGGCCAGGCGAATATTCTGGCTCGCGGGTCGACGTTGTGCTGAACCCGGTTGGTTCATTCCACGGGGATCTTGCGATCTGCCGTCTACACATGACATGGAGTCAGCCCAGTACAATGCATCAGACACATTTCCGATTCCACCTACCGAGAGGGTCGGGGAGACTCGTGGCGCTGACTGCGCCGCCTTCCATCCACGATGGGATCGAGAACACAGTCGCGACCCGCGCTGCGACAGCGCGCACAGGGGACCTGACTGCGGGCGTCGCAACGCATTTTCTGTTTCCTGCACCAGCGACATGCTTTGAAGAAGCGCGGAGGGGCATTTCCCGACTGGAAGCGTAATTCTGAGATTCTCTCACTCATGATTGTGAATGCCAGCCAGCCTGAAGATGTAAGTTGGGGATTTCTCCGGCTCGGAATGGTTTGCGGGGAAAGTTTGCCAGTGGGAACGTGGAGAACAAATTACGGACCGGCTTCTCGGTGGGATTGGGCCGAGTTGCGCCTATGCTAGGCAAGTTCTTCCTTGGAGCCGAGTGGGGAATCAACAGACTGCCACTACTATCCAGGATCTTTACTGCAATTGTTCTTGACATCTGTGATTGAACTGGTATCCCACAACTTCAGTTGCCTTTCGGACTATACTGCACAGGAGGATTCATAATTACAACAGCCAGAAGTCCGGTACAATCACGTATTCCGGCAGGGCCATTACACTACCTAGTAATTCCCATGATATACCTCCCATCTCTCGAACTTGCATTGCAATCGTGGTCAAGAGAAAGATCTGCCCGCAAGAAAGTTTCATCGCTAGATTGCTTATGATAGTACCTATCGGTGCCCAGAACTCAATTCCCGGCTCTCCAAGACGTGGAGATGATATGCACTTGTGATGTCATTCGAGCCCCTTGCTTGCACACACGTGCTGCACAAGTTAAACTGGATTCTAGAGTAATCTCCGATGATCGGAGATCAACTGTGACAGTTGGGCTGGTTCAGGTATGCAAAGTCGAACCTAGAATTGCGATGATAATTGCCTGATAGGGGTTCTTTGTATGTTGCACGCAAAAGAAGCCTGGTGTAGCTTCGTTTGCCTCCCACGCGCTGCACGTTCTCGCCATCTTTACTGCTTGCTTGAGCTCCATCATTCTGGGTCGTCTGACCGTATAGATAATGGCTTGCCCATACCGAATCAAGCATTCCTCTGATCCCACTCCCGGTCAAACACATTCAGCGACCGTTGAGCTACAAAGCACATGTCAGCACCTCTCAACTCCTGTAAATGACTCTCCAGATTGACTCACCCGACGGAACAATATCCAGCGCCTTAACCGACGCATTCACCGGCTGCTGCAGCATGAACACCGCTGCGCGTGCAATATCCTCCGACACCAGAGGCCTAGAATCTCAGATCAGCACAACGCTCTAAGGAGCCCCAACCCCTCCTGAAACCAACCAGTCAGGGAACAACATACTGATACCCCTCGAAAAACTGATCGTACATCTCCTTATCATGCCCCACGCGCAGCGAGTGGAAATTCGTGGCCACACACCCCGGCCGCAGCGCCAGCACCCGGATGTTCGTGCCACTCAGTTCATTGCGGAGTGCGTTCGTGAACCCCTCCTGCGCGGCCTTGTTGGTGTGGTAGACGCACTCCCCGGAGAAGGGCGGGACCTCCAGCCCCGTGACGGAGGTGATGTTGAGGATCGTGCCGGCTTTGCGGGGGATCATGGAGGCGTTCAGCACGGCGTGCGTGACGAACATCCAGCCGTTGATGTTGGTGTTGTTCATGGTGAGGATGTCGGCGATTTTGAGCTCGTGGAAGGGCGCGGGGGCGCCGAGGGCGAGGCCGGCCTATTTTGGTTGGGGTCAGTCATGTTTTGCTGTGTGGTAGCATGGAAGAGGGTTTCAGGACATTGTTGATGAGAATGTCGATCTGATTAAGCTCCTGGGTACTGGATTTCACCGCGGACTCGACTGCTTCGTAAGATTGGATGTCGACTGCTTTGCTGATGATTTTGACACCTGGGTGTTGTTCCTGGATCCTGCTCGCGAGGGCTTGGAGTTTGTCCTAGTTATGTTTTAGTATGGTGTGTATGTCTTGTCGTGGTAACATTCCACATATTTTCTTACTTCCGACCGTGCAAACAGAATCAAATTGGCACCCTGTTCTGCTACTGAATTGGCAATCGCCTCGCCAATGCCCATCGAAGCTCCAGTCTGCAGTTATATTAGCTTGAACCACATTGAGGAATAGGAATAGGAGATTGTCACGTACAATGAGCACATTAAGTCCTTGCAGCGACATATTGAGAGATGACTTCTCCTTGATAACAAAATAGTAGGTAGTAATTGTGAGTCGGGATTGTGCTGTTGAGGGTTAAACGGGGTATTTTGAAGATATCCACATGAAGAGTGGGACGTCATAGTGGGTACATTTTCAGGGTCTCGATTTCTAATCAATCAAAGCTTCAGCGTCGTCAATTGGCCAAACTTTGAGCCGTGGACTGTCGGGCTCTCAATCGAGTATAGTTATATGAAGTTCTCCATAGTAATGGCAGTTATTCATCTTGTGGCACATGGTAAGGGTTCTCGGCTCTGATCTGTTCAGTCCGCCCATTTCCATCGATCCGTCCACACCATACATGGTGTACCTTTCTTAGGTGGTGCGTGAGAAGTCATTGTTGAATAAGCTTCTCGGGGACACAACCGAGTAAGCAGAGACTGTTCATTCATTGGTGATACTCTGTGTCATCGGTTAGTTTTGTAGTGAACGGGCTTCCCAGGGCCCATAGAATCGAGAATGAGGCATCACATGAAACGACCGTGGGAATTGTCCGCTCAGTGGGGAGCAAAAATCGAGAATGGCATTTCTAACATGAATTTGTCCGAGTTTGCTTGCATATCCCTAGTGACCTCAGAGGTACAAAATTGAAACCAAAGTGCGCATGGTCCGTCGACTTCGGCTCCTGGAGGTCCTGAAATCGGCAGTCGAAGCAGTAAAAGCCTCAAAACGGCGAGCTTCAGATAACGCAAGCAGCAGAAGTAATCATCCCGAGGTAAATAGATGCAGAATGCTAGGAATAGGAGTGAGACTAGAAGTCGTGTCAAGTCCAGGCGATCGAGACCTCGAGCCCCTAGCATGTATGGGTCGGTTCTTTTCAAGTCGTGGTCAGCTCCGAATTCTCACATGCGCTGCTACTGAGATGCTGCAATGCAACCTGATCTACGATAGTAGCCGACTGATCCGGGAGTTGTTGCTGCTGAGTAGCTGGGCCAGCCTGCAAATCATCGATTCCTGGCAGATGCAGCGCTATCGACAGGTATGCGCGAGCCTTTGCTCATGTTCAGGAGGAATGTTGGCAAGGTTAACTCCAGTGCGTTCGAAGACAGGTGCTTCAAGAAAGCCTTATCATTCGCTTTGCAGCTACCTGCCGGCTGATAGAACCTCTGGGAAGAAGACTGGCCACAATTGTACGTGAGGGACGACTCCTTGCCTCGGACGCATGAGATGCAGTCATGAGATATTTTCGTCGCGCTACATTCGTGCGCCATTTATGCCAAGGATACTTACAGCCCTTTTCCGCCCTTTTCCGCCCTTGGAAAGGATAGGATTGTATATATTGTGTCTGGGAGGACCGCGGCGAAAGTGAGTGAGTGTTGAAGGGCAACCATGGGGCTCATTACAGAAATAAGCCAGCCTCCAAAGGAGCCTCCAAAATGGTCCCTCAACTCTTATCTGCTGATGAATGCACTCATTTTTGCATTGGCAGGGATATGTAAGGGTTTTGATGAAGGTGAGAGGCAAAACTCCACCGTCTAAGCCATCAAACATCTAATCCAGCAGCGAACATCGCATGTCTTGTCGTACAGTCCCAGTTCCGCGTCGCCTTTGGGATCGATAGACAGTCACCAGACGAATATGCCAACACGAAAGGGTGGATTGTGTCGATTTTCACGGCTGGGGCTATCTTTGGCTGTCTGGCTGTAAGCCAAATTCCAACAGTCCATGAATACCTGACTTGCTAACGGAGTCCCAAAAGTGCCTGCCAGTCAATGACCGCTTGGGACGAAAATGGAGCTTGCGTCTGTCAACGTTGATCTATGCAGCAGGAGTCGCCGGACAGGCGCTCAGTAAAGGCAACCTGTCAGCCTTTTACGCATCCAGGTTCATCGCTGGGTTTGGTGGTGGCGGAATCACTATCGTTCCTTCGATGTATATTTCGGAGGTATTCCATCTTCATCGACATGGAGAGTGGGAGTGTCGGCTTATCAGGCATCTAGATTGCACCGAAAAGGATTCGCGGGCTTCTCGCTATTCAGTACTCAACTTGCCAACAGCTCGGTTCTGTTTTCGGCTTCTTCATCAACTATGGCATCACCAAGGCGTATGACGGAGAAGACCTGCAATGGATGGTTCCTACATTCCTCCAGCTGGTGCCGGCGGTGATCTGGGGGTTTGGGACGTTTTTATGTGTGGAATCTCCTCGATGGTTACTATACGTCGGCCGGCGCGAACAAGCCATTGCCACGGTATCCCGACTCCGCGGCTTGCCCAATGGTCATGCCGAAGTGATTTCCGACATCCAGATCATGGAATCGCAGATCTTGTACGAGCGGGAGGCTGTCGTGGGAGCGACGCAGTGGGACCTGGTGAAAGAAGTGTTACTTCCAGTCGAGAATCGACGCCGCTTCCTGCTTGTCTTCATGGCGCACCTATTCTCTCAATGGTCGGGCGCCAGTGCGATCACTCAATATCTCCCCACGATCTTCGGCTACTTGAGTATGCCGAGTGAGACCGCCTCGCTAGCGACCGGGTTCTACGCGGTGGTCAAGTTTGTCAGCTGCCTGATCTTTTCGTTGCTGGTGATTGATTTCATCGGACGTCGGAGGTCTCTCATGACGGGAATCACGCTTCAAACGACCACCTTGGTCTACCTGGCGTGCTACCTTGGCATAGCTCGCACGATGACCGCGGCCCACATCGCCAACACCCCGAGCGTATCTCGAGCCTCGACGGGGGCTGTGGCAGCTATCTTTATCCATGGGGTGGGGTGGAACATCGGGTGGCATGGCATGCCGTATCTTATCGGGGCAGAAGTGTACCCAATCCGTATCCGATCGCTGGCTGTTTCGATGGGCATGGCCATTCACTGGGTGTTCTTCTTCGGATGTTCTCGGGCGACTCCTGATATGCTGGAAGTGATGCAAGAATGGGGCGCATTCGCCTTCTTCGCTTGCATCTGTTTTGTTTCGCTGATTTATGTGTTCTTTGCGATGCCGGTAAGTGTCCCCCTAGCGAGATGGTCTTCAGGATTCCACGCGGGCGGAGTTACTAAGGTTGTTCAGGATACCACCGGACGATCTTTGGAGTCACTGGATAGTTTGTTCCAGCGGCCCTGGTACAGAGTTTACCAGGTGGCCTATGCAAAGAATGACAATGTGGGAGGTGTGGTGTAAAAAAGGTTGCAGTGGAAGTGGAAGGGCGAGATGGGCTGGTCTAGTTCTATTCCCGTGTATCTCCGGTCTGTAGGCAGTAAGCGATGAAAATGACCTCGGACACGAGACCACAGGCACTTGATATGGTATCGGATGCTCCTCTTGACATTTAACCATAGTAGTCGGTCGAAAGTCACACGGCAAGTGGTCAATTTAGCCGATCAACCTGGCACAGTGCGACGCTGAAGTGTAACCACCTGGTTCGGTGTATTCGGAAGAGGGGGGAGAATAATCGATTGGAGGGGGGAAGATTATCAAGGCTGGGCAGGGTCCGAGGGCTCAGCTGCAGTGGTGTGGCGGCCATGTGCAAGACTGCCGCTGCTTTTGGGAGACTCACTGGTTGCTCACTGTAAACACGCACCGAATCCCCGGTTGCTGCCCAGACCAGTAGCTTCGGTACCAACTGGGCTGTTCTATCCTTCCTCCATACCTTGTGATGTATCGCCCAGAGCAGGGATTCTGAACTGTGCATCTATTTCATTTCCAAAAACTGACATTTCTGAAACCCTGGACTTCAATCCTGCATACGACAACACATATGAGCAATTCCAAAGGCCTCACTGTATCATCATGGGTCTCCGAATTGCCCGGTTCCAACAAACATTTACCATTCAAGAAGGTTGACGTGCATACTACTAGGTACTTGATGGTGAGAATGGTACAGACATCAGACAAAGACACCACATCCATCTTCCCATGATTGATTAATTCCAGGTTCTATTTCCCTAGAAGAGGAGGAAGCTCCATCGAACTGTCGGTCATCCAAGGTCAATCATCCACACAAGGGGATACATAAATCGGAGCATATAGACTCTACTCTTGTGAGTTCTTTGGCCAGGGAAAATCCTGAAACGTGATGGACCTGGCACGAAGAACCAACCAGTGAAAAGTAGTCTCGTTCAGAAGAAGCGTTGTGTATCGGAAGTTAGTATAAACCTAGATACCTGATGTGTTGTAGCAGGGATAACTACCCCGACGCAGATAAAAGCATCGGTTTCCTGTTTTTGGATAGCACAATCTTGGTACAACAACCACCCCACCACGAGGCAAAACACTGTCTCTCGGGCCCCTCTTCCGAGAAATCCCTCCTTCATGTTCCTACCCCAATTTGGTAACGGTCTGGTTTAAGCATAAGTCTAACCGTGGAGCCCAGGGGTCGGTTGCAAGCACGTTTGGGCTCCAGCATGACGACACAGTCGATCATAGGCCTACCTTAACTCAAGGATAGAGTCAATTAGCAGACTAGAACATGTGCAAGGACAATAAGAAGGACGGCTTCACCTCCCTCAGCTGCGGCGTGGTCGTATGCTCATATGTGCATGATGCCACTACGTCCGAACCCGGCTCTTCAACCAGTATACCAGCAGCCATGATGCCTAGTAGTTTATCGGAGATTCCCCAGCACCCAGAGCAGATTGACTTGCTCCAACATACCCTCCTCTATGTGGTGATCATCTTCTACCACTCGCAATATCACGCTCCCAGCTATCACGTGAAGTTCTCCAAGCATAAACTCGGTCTCTCCCTTCACATCGGCACAGGGCTCTTTGAGGTCTTCGAGTACCGCCTCCGTCGCGTCCAGCTAGGCCATGATAGGATCCTCCCCAGCTCACTGGACGTGGTTTCCTGCCTAGTCTGGTCAGCCACCAGTCTTCAGCTGGTGAAGACACTCCGGCGCGGCGATCCCCAGACTACACGACCTCCCTACCAAGCAGGAGCCATCCTGCGCCCCGTCGTATGTATGCTCGCCTACCTGCTCCAGAGCCCAAACCTCCATCGACTTTCGGTCTATGCGCTGGACAGCTTCGTCTATGCACGCGTCTTCATCTTCTTCTTCCATTATACCCCGTATATGCGGGATACGCCTGGCAACACCATCTACGCGCTAGCCATCCCCTTGGCGGCGGCATTCAGCATTCATGAGAGCCGCGTGCCCGGGGCGTCGGTGGGGTTCGTGCTGGCCATGGCGTACATCGCGAAGCTGAACGAATGGGTGTCCCAGCGGTCTCGCCAATTGAGGGAGTAAGTAATCAAGAACCAAGATGGTGTAGTCCGAGGTTGCTTTCGTTCTGACATTGCTCTCTAGGCCTGATGAGCAGGCAAAGACGTCCACAGTGGAGAAACACCTGGTGACGGGGTTGCGGAGGCTGGGGTTCGCGGAGCTACAGGAGCTGCGAAAGGTCACCAACCACCAGGCCTTGAAGAAGCCGCTGACGGATGACTATGTCTCCAGTAACGAAGCGTCTAATTGATCATGTATATCTCTTGGCAGTCATATCCCGGTGATAAATGTGTACATGTAAATGCCGCCCGCATTCTATAGATTATATATTTTCGCAGTGTAGTGCGGGATGGGAGTGAAGTTGTTCGATGAATGTCTCATTAATAGTTGACCATCATATAGATGAGAACTAAATCAATATATCCATTGCATAGCTTGATGTTTTAGACCGTTGGCTGTAGTGGATGGTGATGGAGCTTCTGTTGTTGCGTCCGAAAGGCAGGTATCGCCCGGGAACCTCGGGACGGACACGCACTTTCCAGTTGCACCCCACGCTCCGTGAGCGAAAAGCAGCGTCCGACCAGGCCCAAAGCGGAAAGGTTCGTTTAGCAGGGAAGACGGTTATTGTTGCCGTTGCCAAGGAAGCAAGCATTACCTAGTTAGTTAGTTATTGTGCCTGATGATAAATGACAGTCATCATGATCACTCTGCCTGACTCCGTTCTCTCTCCACACTTTTACGATCGATCTGGTGGTGGAGAAGATATGGATGTGTTAAGTTACTTTGTATGGCTTGATGATGAAGATAGTACATATAGTTACTCTTTACTTCTACGAGGGAGACTACGTACTCGAAACCGCGCGAACATGGCCAGACAGTGGCAAGACAATTCGACCTTTTTGCAGCGGCTATCCATGGCTCCTCGAGTCTCGACCAAACCAAGCCTTTCGTTAGCGGAAAAGCGCAAGGGCAGAAAAGACCCTGTTTGATGTCATCTACTGGTTTGACTGGTTACTGGTTACTGGTTAACTGGTTAACTCCGGCGCAATTCATCCGGACAGGCCACTGGGCACCCTCACTATCAATTCCCAAATAGATTGATTACCTTCGTAATTATTCATGGCCATCCCGCGGGTCTCCATTTGAGTCCCCGAACTTCCACTCCATCTTCCCCCCCTTCTCCCCAGTTCCTCCGACTCGGTTTTCTCCGAGATACATTTTTCTCCCTTCTAGACTACCTAGACTACATTCTCCCTTACTTTTCTTCTCATCCCGAAGTCAAATTCCTTCGACCGTTTCCTGGAATTCTCATGCGCCGCTCCCGGCGAGACCCGGATCATGGCGGAGGGAATGCGACCAGACCGAGGAGGGCCTGCGGTTTCGCGGGCGTTGACAGTCCCCGCGATCGTCACCAGCACCGCATCTTCCTCTTCCTCCATTCCTATCCACGAGACCTCCACCACCAGCACAACAAACACGAGCAATAGCCCCACGGTGCTCAATCGCAGCGATCAGAGTCCCAATGCCTCCAAACCCAGCCTGATCCGCTCGTCGCAAACATTTCCGATCGGTAAGTCCGTCCACTCGGTCACGAGACAAGATATCACCACCATCGATCAGCTGCTGACTCGGGCTCCCCCTCCCTACTTTTAGCTTCGAGTCCCTCGGACTTTGCTTCAGCCTCGAACGGACCCCTACAAGATGGCAAACGAAATTCTCATACCTTGCAGTACCCAAGCAATGGTTCCGTGAAAAACACCGCCTCGTCCCCATCCGTCTTCCAATCGACTACCGACTCGAGCGCCATCGATCCGTTATCACAAGTAAGGCTGACGCGCTTGTTTCCGTGGTCTAGATGTCTAGGTGGCTGATTGACCGTGCGTTTCCGATAGCATATCATCAAGCGCACCAACACCCACAAGTCTATCCCCTTGAAGCTATTGGGCAGGGCCTCATACGAAGCGGAAGCGGGCGGAGGCGATCATCGTGGCTCCTTAGACCATGGCTCAAACCGGGGCGATGCGAATATGCACCCAAAGGCGTCCAAGGAGAAGAAGTGAGTGCGAACCCTTTTTTTTTCCCGTTGTCGTTGTTGTTGTTGTTGTTAAAGCCAGACCCTTTACCCCGCATTATCGCCATGCGGCTCACATTGCTTTTCCCCCCCTTCGGACCTGACGGAACAAGCTTGCTGATCGTCTGATCTTCCCGTTATATAGGAAGGGTGTTTCTTTCCTGAGTCGTATCATACCCGGAAAAAAGAAGGATCAATATATAAATGACGAGGACGATGTCTCGGAGCCCGAAACAACTCGCATGGATACCGACGCAGCTTCGCAGCCGATCGGGTTCTTCCCTCGATTCCCGCCTCCTCCCAAATATATCCGCGTAAGAGCACATAACAAGAAGGAAAAGACATTCAGTCGAGTCTTCGTGGCGCAAGAGCTCGAGGGCGCAACCGGTGCTGCGGGTGGCTCGGACAAGGATGACTCCGTGTCGTCCACAGGAGTACCAAACGAGGCCAGCACGGGCAAGGCGATCTGGGCGCTCGTGTTCTCCAATGATGGCAAATACCTGGCAGCTGCTGGTCAAGACAAGAAAGTGCGTGTCTGGCAAGTCGTTGGCTCTCCCGAGGACCGCGACCCGGCCGATCCGGCATCCGATAGTGATGATGGTCCGCCCCGGTTGAACGCGCAAGTATTCAAGTCTCGTCCGGTCCAAGTCTACGAAGGCCATACGGGAAGCGTACTGGATCTCAGCTGGAGCAAGGTACTTTTCACTGGCTTGTCCAAGTTTGAATCGGTGCTAACGCAGACTTCTAGAACAACTTCTTGCTCTCTTCGTCAATGGACAAGACGGTCCGACTCTGGCATGTGAGCCGACCCGAGTGCTTATGCTGCTTCAAGCATAGCGACTTTGTTACATCGATCCAATTTCACCCGCGAGATGATCGGTTTTTCCTGGCAGGATCACTGGACACCAAACTGCGGCTATGGAGTATCCCGGATAAGAGTGTGGCGTTTGTGGCGACCGTCCCCGATATGATCACGGCCGTTGCCTTTACACCTGATGGACGGCACTCCATCGCTGGAAGCCTCAACGGGCTGTGTAATATATACGAAACAGATGGATTAAAGGCCGTTGGACAGATTCATGTGCGTTCTGCACGTGGTCGCAACGCCAAAGGCAGCAAAATTACTGGTATCGATACTATGACCTTGCCATGCAACGACCCCAATGGCGAGGTCAAGCTATTGATCACCAGCAACGACTCCCGGATACGGCTGTACAACTTTCGCGACAGGACGCTAGAGGCCAAGTTTCGCGGCAATGAGAATACCTGCAGCCAGATCCGCGCGTCTTTCAGCAATGATGGAAAACATATCATCTGCGGCAGCGAAGATCGCCGAACGTATTTATGGCCGGTAGAATCCATCGAGAAGGACTCCGATAAGCGGGCCGTCGAGGTGTTCGATACACACTCGGCCATGGTTACGGCCGCCATCATGGCCCCCACAAAAACAAAACAGGCACTGGGACTCGCCGAAGATCCGATCTTCGACGTATGCAATCCCCCACCGGTGACTCTAATCAGCCAGGCAGACCGGGAGAACGGGCGGGCGCATCCCAATTCAGGAGCCAGCAAGCAGGAGTCGCCGGCGTATCTGGCTCGTTCGACCCATCCGGACGGGAACATCATGATCGTGGCCGATTACTCCGGCAAGATCCAAGTCCTGCGCCAGGACTGTGCCTACCAGAAACGGCGGTACGACAACTGGGAAGCGCACAGCACGATCTCCCGCAAGATTCTCCGGCGCACCAACTCGGCCCGCCACAGCATCGCATCCTCCACCGGGAAGGATTCCACACACAAGACGCCATCGGAGCGCATCATCTCATGGCGCAACTCGGTCATTCGTCACGGTACCAGCAACAGTCGTTCAGGAATGCGAACCCCGCGCACTCGCAGTCCCTCCCCGCACAAGTCGATCCGCGACGGACCATCAGGGTATGCGAGCCCCGGCCGCGCGTCGTTCAATGCGGCACGACCGGACTCCCGGTCGATGTTCACCACCTCGCCACCCCAATCGGCCTACAAACAGTCCATGGAGAGCGGTCGGTCCAGCGCCGAGACGTCCCGCGTTCTCGCCAGTGGCATCGAGGGGCAACAGACGCCCCCGGCGTCGACGACCACGTTCGTCAAGCGGGAGGACAAGGACAACCCGCTGTGGCTGCAGGGCGAACAAAGCTACGCGTTCTACAACAAGATCACGCGCGACGCGCTCGCGATGCGAAAGAAGCGCAAGCCCAGCAGCGGCAGCGGGCTGCCCAGTCCGAACCACCTGGCGGTGCCGGGGGAACGCAACATGAGCCTGGGGAGTGCCTTGAGCAGCGACTATGGGTCGTCCAACGGCGATGGCGAGGACGGCGAAGTGCTCCGGTGCGAGAACTGCGCGGGCACCAATTTCCGAGCGACCAAGGGGCGCAATGGGAGACAGCGGCTGGTTTGCGTGCGATGCGCCCAGCCGATCACATAGTTCTGGTGCGTGTAGATGGATACCTAGTAGAGGGCGGGACATGCTGCAGAGGATTCGATGTAATTAGTTCATGTTTTTGTATGTACGATAGATGGATGGTCTATACATAGCCTACGCTGTACAGTGGGTACGAGGGACGAATGACGAATGATTTGAATCAACCAGCGCCATGTGCACGATTGCAACCTACCTAGTACCTAGGTACAGTACCTACTGCATCTATCCCGGACCAGCAGCTCGAGTACTTGGGGGCTTCCAACCCGGCAGCCGGCAGATCGGCCTCGAACTCTCACCGCCCGGGCCAACAACAGCACCTCCGGAGTGCCAAATCCACCAAAACCCGCAATGCAGCACGCATCCACATCCAGGTGACACAATTACCTTCACCTTCACCTCAAATACGCCCATCTCGTTATTTCCTTACTGTGTTCAACTCCAACCCCTCATCTAATACTCCGTGGAATCCCGAGACCACGAACTCCCGAATCAAGATGCCATACCTCCCCACCCCCCAAGCCTACCTGGAGCAATCCGCCCTGCTTCTGCAAGCATATCCTGATGCAGTACGACACGACACCCAAATCCCTCCCCTCTCTATCTTCCCCCGCAGCTCACCAAGCTCAAGCCTACCTCAATCCTATCCCCTCCCCTTCCCTCCCCGACTTAACCCCAAACCTCTCATCAACCCCAACAACTAATGATAATCAACCCCCCAGAAAATAACAACAAAATACACCTTCTCCCACGCCACCCGCTCCTCCACCAAGACCAAGACCAAGACCACCTCCAGCACCTCCAGCCCCTCCGCCTCCACAACCGCACAACCCGCCAAAGAAACCCAGCAATCACCAACTCCCCAATCGCAAGAAAAACCCCGCATAGCCACCCTGACCCTCAAGACCTTCCACCCCGGCTCCGGCATCTGTCTGAAATACCGGACCAACAAGGGCGCCGAGGTGGGGCGGTTGATCTCCTCGCTGGGCAAGTTGGCGGCGGGGGCGGATGTGGAGGGCTTGGGGTTGGGGTTGGGGAGTGCGGGTGCCGGGGCTGCGGGGGGTGCGGTAACTGGTGGTGCTGGGGCGGGGGATGTGGAGATGGAGGATGCGTCTGTGCCTGCTCCTGTTTCTTCTGCAGTAGTTGGGGAGGGGGGGAGTGAGGGGGTCGTTTCTGCTGCGGCGGCGGCGGCGGCGGCGGCGGCGGGGGCTGGGGCTGGGGGCAAAAGTGGGAAGGGGAAGAAGAAGGGTGGGAAGGGGAAGCGGTGATTCTTTCGGTCGATGCTTGCGGACTGAGAATAAGGGGTCTATGTGGATATTTCTGAAGAGCGATGGTTTACTCGTTTGGACTAGGGTTCGCTGGTGTGGTAGCAAGGAAAGAAGGAAGAAATTGAGATACCCGCGTTGATGGTTGTGTCTGTCCTTGGACTTACTGTGGTGGAGGTGGACCGATTGAGATGAGCAGAGGATAGGTCCTAAGGTGTGGCTCTATTCAGAACGACTTCGTACAAACTACAATGCCTTGACTGCGATTCACCAGTGATACTCATCAATATTATCCAACAATGTACATTTCTAGCTAGATACAAAGGTGTAAAAGAAATCCGCCCATCCAACGCCAATCCCATGCGTGTAAACCTCAAAGCTTCATAACACAAAATCCAAACAAGAATTATTCGTAGCCATGGCTGGTGCCGACAACCGGGTATATCGTGGCATCACTCTTCTAAAAGTCCTCGTCAAAGTTGAGACCGCCCGCCGAGGCGCTGGTCTCCTCCTCCTCCTTCTTCTTCGTGCTGGCCATGACACCAGCCTTCTGGTAGTCACCGACGCGCTTCTCGAAGAAGTTGGTCTTGCCGGCCAGGGAGATCGACTCCATGAAGTCGAAGGGGTTGGTGGAGTTGTAGTACTTCTTGTTACCAAGAGCCACCAACAGGCGATCGGCCACGAACTCGATGTACTGGCACATCAGCTTGGCGTTCATGCCGAGCAGGGCAACGGGGAGAGAGTCGGACAGGAACTCCTGCTCGATGCCGACGGCCTCGACGATGATGTCCTCGACCATCTGCTTGCTGGGGCGGTTGTTGAGGTGGGAGAAGAGCAAGCACGCGAAGTCGGTGTGGAGACCCTCGTCACGGGAGATCAACTCGTTGGAGAAGGTAAGACCGGGCATCAGGCCACGCTTCTTGAGCCAGAAGATAGAGGCGAAAGAGCCGGAGAAGAAGATACCCTCGACCGCAGCGAAAGCGACCAGACGCTGCGCGAAAGTGGATTCGCGGTCCTGGATCCACCGGATCGCCCAATCAGCCTTCTTGCGGATGCAAGGAACTGCAGCAGGTTAGCATTCTCGTCCAATCACAATCCCAGCGCGATGCACATACTGTTATCAATGGCGTCGAAGAGGTAGTTGCGCTGCTTAGGCTCCTTGATGTAGGTGTCGATGAGGAGAGAGTAGGTCTCGGAGTGGATGTTCTCCATCATGATCTGGAAACCGTAGAAGCAACGAGCTTCGGGGATCTGAACTTCGCCGCTGAAACGCTCCACCAGGTTCTCATTGACAATGCCGTCGGAAGCGGCGAAGAAAGCAAGGACGTGAGAAATGAAGTAGCGCTCGTCATCGTTAAGGCGGTTGCTCCAGTCGTGAAGATCCTTGGAGAGATCAATTTCCTCGGCGGTCCAGAAAGAGGCCTCGGCCTTCTTGTACATCTGCCAGATCTGTAGGACGCGAAAAGACACGTTAGTGCACTAGTCTCGACGCGGGTGGGGCACCCGAGGGCAGAGCGGAAAAATTCCACTTTACGCGTGACGCGTAGGGGACGTGTCGACTGACCTCGTGGTACTTGATGGGGAAAAGAACGAAACGGTGAGGGTTCTCCTGCAGAAGAGGCTCGTTGGCCTCGAACTCCTTGATACCAGGAGCAACCTTGGGAGCTTCAGCGGGCTTCTCGGCAAGGGTCTTCTCGGCGACGACGTCGGTGGTGGCGGGAGCGTTCTCCTTGCCAGCGGCGTTGAAGTTGAGCTTCTTGACGGGAGAGTCGCTCATCTTGAGGTTCTCAAGCGAGGAAGCAGCCTATTCATCGAGGTATATTAGTCGGGTTGCTCGCGTCGACGCGTTGTCCATGAGGAGGCAAGACGTGACATCACCTACCTGCTTGGAGGGAGTGAGTTGTGCGGACATTGTGAAGCTGGAAGGAGATAGTAGAAAAGTAATTGAAGACAATTGTTCACAGCAACACAGCAACACACCAGACAATTGATCGTGATGGACTGGAGAGAAAGAAAATGAGCTGCGAAGGGGAGGGACAAGCAGACAGAAATACTTGCATGGGACGAGGAGCGTGATCCTTAGCGCGACGGGCTAAGTCACGTCGCACGTGACTTGGCGCGACTTGGGGCCGGGAGGCTGGCTGGAACATAATTGATCCGGACCCATTTTGTTGATGCCGTCGCGTCTACGGTAATGGATACACGTCTTTCATTCCATTTTCGCTCTACGGCTGACCCATGAGCCATTTGCTTTGCTCCAGTCAGACCACCGGCCAGTCGTCCTTCCGGTGCTCTAGAACTCCACTGTTCCAGCAGCTGCAAGCCTGCAACAAGTTTTACAGCTCTCTCCACATTCCTGGAAAGGTACAAACTGCGCTGTTCACCTCCATCGGCGTCTCTGCCGCTTGTACTCCGTACCCTAGCGCGTTCGTGTTTCGTCGCGCTATTCCATCTCGGGTCTTAATGTTGGTCTCTATCTTATCTGATCAAACTGAATCGATCGCGATCCTCGCTCCTGAATGCGTGCTGCTGTCAATTTCGCTGTCTCGATTGCTGTCTATTAGACATTCCATGGTGTTGCAGACTAGGTAGTCTCCATGAACACCTCCCATGCCTAGACCCCTCACCGGTCCTCTGTACCTTACAGATGACTGCAGTTGCTTAGGCAGCGTTTACGGCATCCTGAGCAATCAAGCTGAGCTCAGCTGCCGATCCCCACCGGCGTAAATCCGTGGCGAAGTTTTCTCAACTTTCATGTCCGTGCTCAGACAGAACGCGACGCGCCGGTCTGTTTCCCAAGTCCCCCTGCTCCACCACCACGGAATTACGGGATTCTCTGGGCCCCTTCGGCACCGCTGCCTATCCTAATGCGGTAGCCTGGCTCCAATCTAGATTCCATGGCGAGCTCTGGGGCCGCAATTAGTGGGCTTTGGGCAAAGTTCTGTTTCCGTCCGGTCGGTGATGACGTCCTACATGTCCGAGACGCGTCCGCCGTGTTTTGACTGTTGATGCGTAGGATCACACCCTCGCCTGCTCAAAGGTGCTGTGTAACTGTAGTGCTCTGGATGGGTCAATCAATTGGAGCTGGCTTGGATAAGTACCAAGCTTTGTAATCTACCCAGTTCTAGTTACACTGTATGCCGTGCGATGGAATCCGTGTGTGCACCACGCGTCGCGTTTTGGGCTGTCGATCCGACAGGAACAACATGCGAGCTACGACGATGTCATCTCGGACAATCCTGGTCTATACTGGGGCGAACTAAACATTGGGCTACATAAGGGCCCACTTGGGTCCAACCAGGAATACGATTTGTCTAGCCTTCACCTGGAGCTTGTGGTGTCCGTCCCATCTTTGCCCCCTTGCCCACACAGAATTATCGCAAATGGTATCAATTGACTGCCTCTTCTGAACCAACTCAATTTGTCTTCTTTAGAGGTCTATGATATCTAACATCACGCAACTAATCAAGGTGAAACGCCTTATGTGCACAACAAGCCGAGCAAGCAGATGCCATTACTCAACCATGTAATCCCTGGTTGAATATACCGAAATGCCTCTATAAATGTTTTCGCAAGGTAGGAATGGTAAGGTGAAGTCGCTGGACGAATGCCGATCATTTAAAGTCGAGCCTTGAGTGAGTCGGAGAGGAACCGGTCCTCCAGTCTACGCATGTATTTGTTGGTCTGTTCGGCCAAGCTGAGTGTCAAGATCTAGAGATCAGTTAGCGATCGGTTGCCGGACTTCAAAACCCTCTGCTCTGGACTTACGGTGTGTGGCAGGATACGGGCAAGATGGGCGAAATATCCCTTATAAATTGCAAGAATGCCTTCAGTGCGAATGGTCTGGAACAAGCAATCAAATGCGCCCTTGTACAGGTTGCCGGTCTGGTTGTACATTCTCGACATAATAGTGTCTGCAAAAAGAGTCAGTTTGATCACGCTGCTGCGAATACAATATGGGACAAACATACCAGGAGGGTGCATGACACAGCAAACCACGAAGCCGGAAGCCGTGCTGCTGGCCAGGTGCAGAGCGGGCCCGTCTTCCATACCAAGGTGCTTCGTCAAGCGACGCTTGGCGAAGAAGTAAGTCGGCAGCTGAACCGAACTACCGAAACCGGTGCGCACCATCGCTGCGCCTACACCGCGATACAATCCCTTCACTCCCTCGGTTTTATAGATCTTGCTCAGGCCGTCGAACGAGTTGCGATAGTTGTGCTGTGTACCGACCGGAAGGAACGGCGAGAAGGATTGTAGACGGGTCTTGACAAGGAAGAATGGCGAGCCAGCTGCGGCGCCGATGATGCCTGACGTGGCACCCGCGAAGACGTTGATTCCCAGGGACTGGACCTGGCTGTCTTTGTAGATCGCATTTGTGATGCCCCCGCGCAGAGGTTCGTAGAATCCGAGACGGCACCCGTTCAACAAGACTTGATAGATATACTGAGAAGCGCATTAGTCCGATGCGGCACCCTGTTGCTCGTCGTGGGCGATACTTACGGCAGAGCCAATACCCCGAAAGAGACCGCGAGGCCCCTCATTCTGCAAGATCACCTTGACACCGTGAAATACACCTCGGTATTTCTTGACCGCGTCGGTCTTGGATTGCAACTCTCCTTGCAATTGTAAACTAGGATATCCATCAAGTCAGCTCTGTGTCTTGGGGAGCGCCGGCTGGCAAGTGAGGA